ATATTTCTTAATAAAACGCTTTCTTAAATCTACAACACATTCACATTTTAATATAAAATGAAATTCATCTTCGATATCCCCACTGTTGCAGTATGCTCATGTCCTTTCAATACTATCTACATTGTTATACCTACCACTTTCAATATTTAATTTGTGAGATGATAGTCTAATTTTTGTAATTTCTGACAGATTTGTATTTCCTATTGATTTTGTTAGATATGGTTGTTAACAGAATTTTTCGCCAATAAACTTGTACAGTGAACACTTAGAAGATGAATCTATTTGTTCTTTACATTCTTGCTTATATAAATCACGCATTCTACTTTTAATCATATTCATAATATAATCGGATGTATAGGTATCTCCATATTGCCATATATACCCTACTCCCATTCTAAATAGTTCGTTTCTAACTCCATTCATCCATTCACTACCATTTTCTAACATTTCTTGATAACATGCATGTAAAACACAATTATCAGTTTGTTTTAATCTTAACCAGTATTTAAAAAAAATCTAAATTTCCTAATTATTTCCAAAGGTAATCTTCCTAGTTCTCCAACCTTTGTTCATTCCATCGCGACGGGGAAAATAAAATGTTGTACGTATATTTGCGTTGTTATTGTATTAAAAGATTCGAGAACATCCCCGATCCGGTTGAAACCGGTTTGAGTATTTGTAAACGTGATGCAATCGGACCGCTACAAATAGATGCAGTCAGGAAAAACCAAAATACATGAGAACCCCCCTATGACATCATCGATCGGTACCCCCCTTCTATTTAGGTTGTCGCTATAAATAGATGCAGTCAGGAAAACCCCAAATACATGAGAACCCCCCCTGTGACATCATCGATCGGTACCCCCCCTGCCGAAGGGGGGTGCCACTAGGGGGTGCCAGGGAGGTGGTAAGGATTATATAGGGGAGTGCACTCAATGACCCTGGCCCACATGCGGTACTTTTGTACTACTATAATAAATTGTAATGTTTAAATGTGCTTGAAATATCGCCAACACCAGATACAGAAAAAAGGGTGTTTAAAAGCTTTATCTGGAAGCTTACAAAAATAGAATATTGTATATTACAAATTTGTGTCTTGTTGTGACAGGTAAAATTAATATATTTTAGGGAAGAATTAATAAAATGTATGAATATTTTAAAATGAATTTTAACTGTTATTGTACAATACCAGAAAGCTAATAATATAACATGTAAGATCTATATCTAAAATTGCAAATTGAAAAAAAGATGTGACTTGTTGGTACAAGTAAAACCACTGAATTAATGCTATCTTATTATATAATTAAATCCCATGGTTAAATGATGTTATTTTAGATAGGAATAAATTACAATGTACATGTATTTATTTTCAAATGAACTTTAACTGTCATTTTACAATATTTATTGATAAAATTGTTAGCACTTCATCTATTATAGTCTTCATCATAATAATAGGGAATATCAGATTAAATGTCCTAACTTTACATATTATTGCAATACAATACAATTTGTTTTATTTAGGTGTCACATATCGATATACACTAAAACTACAGCAGATTTTATAAAAAGTAAAAGCTATTTCAAAATTTAAATCGATCAGTTATCGACGTCAAGCCAAATCTGGCTTATGAGACACTAAAAGACATTAACACACCTTAAAATAAGTAAAATCACTAGCAATGTACATACTTATATAAAGTTAATGTTGTAAAGGTGTAACTGGACGAGACTGAATAACCGACCGGTTTCGACTTTTAATTTAAATTTGTTTATACGACATTCCCAACTTCTCCGTTTTCCTTTTGACCACTAATGTATTTTATAGACTAGTCTATCGTGAGCAGTTCCATTAATCCTTAACCAGAGCCTACAGACCTCCACTTTCTGTTCCACGTCACAGGAACTCCAACCAACATTGCCACTTGCTTTCTTTTAATTTGTAGTAAATTTCAAAATCTAAGAGTGCGGTTTTCCGACTATTCAGTTGTTAAGTGTCAAAAATAGTAAACCGCTATGTATATTAAAGAAGTTTATCTTTGAAACTATCAGAACCTCTTAGTTGATTATATTGTGTATTATGTACATCATCTCTATACATTCTCTATGCATCGTGTTTTGTACATGATGTACCACATATAATGAGCCCAAGCTTTGAATAAATGTTGACAAAATTGACATTTGTGATATTATGATAAGTGAAAATTATAATTATTTTTCCTATCTACAGTGTATGTCCACACAAAATCAGCTTGAGATTGAAATTTTGCAGACATAACTATAAAATAAAGGAAATATTAAAAACAACATTCAGTCAACTGTTATTTTATCAGTTGATTTATAGACAATGCATTACAGAATTTTAAACAATCTTTGCTATTAAGATTAGTTAATGAATCTTTACTTGATCAACAATAATTTAAGATTTTAATAACATGCAGGCGGCTGGTACTGTACCTGTTATAATATCTGTAAAATCGTTATTATTTTCAGGTTGAATAAATGTATCCATTTTATTTGTTTTAATATTCATATTTCATCTACTACCACATGTCATTATAATTCTTTACAGAGAAAATGGAATATTTCTCTGATTAAAATAGACATATGCTCTTAATTATAATATGTATTACAATACCATTTACATCATTTTGAAACAGACTATAACCAAATTGTGATCAGGTGTGAACATTGAAATATATGCTAGGTGAGACTAGGTATTTAAGAAAAGTATGCTAGGTGAGACTAAACCGACCTATATACCTAATTCGAACAGATGGTTTATCCTCTCTCAACTGACAGGGTGATCATCACACCGTGACATTAGAACAATAAGGCTAGGTAGAGTCAGTCCGGGGAGCCTTGATCACTGACCTGACTGGAAACCCTACTAATATATAGACAATAGAGGATGAATCCCCTATTGTTTAGAGTATAAGTATAGTGGACTCCTTGTTTGGGCAACACCCTTAGGCTTATATAGATATTCAAACTGCTGGCAAAGGGAAGTCATGCAAAATCATAGTTCAAGGGATGGTCGATGTTAGAAGGAAATCCCATATGAAATAGAGGAAAATCTTCAAAATCCTCGGTCCTGATTATGTTTGGACACAGACAGAAAAAGGGTGTTGCCCGGGCAACTAGGGCAACACCCCTGGGTCCGCCGCTGGACCGTAATAAACTTTACAATTTAGATAAAGCATGTATGGACAATTCCATCCATCAAGAGTACAAGTATTGGATTCTAGTAAATCTGAGTCTTGAGAAAAAAGACTTTTAAAATTTCAGCCAATATTCCAATTGGCCCTGCCCCTCCGAATCGAGGGGTGAGTCAGGATCTTACTTTCTAATAGCATCAAATTGATATCTCCTTATTATTTCAAGCAAATTTGAATTATTTCCTGTAGAGTTAAAAACAAAATATGCCTAAAAACATCATGTCCCTATATGAAAAAAATATGTGTATGGAGATACACATCGTATTGAATGTATTGTGCTGTGAAAGTACAGGAAACGGGATACGGGATACGGGATACAGGGTACAGGGTACAGGGTAAAGGAACAGAGTACGGGGTACAGGGTACAGGGTACAGGATACAAGGTACTAGAATCAGGTTCATGTAAATAAGTGCAAATCTTTATTTTGTCACACTCAAGTACAACATTGTGTGGGTTAATCCCACCCAGATATTTAGTGGAAAGCAAGTTATAAGCAGAGTGTGGAAACATAGGAAATATTACATTGTTTTCTGAATAAGTTGTGGTGGTAACTATGTTCGTATCTATATTTATGAATTTAAATGTATTGTACATGTGTTGTTGTCCAATTAGTATTACTGTTGCCTATTACACATAATTACTACTATACCTAACCATGCTCATTCTAGTCGTGTATACAATTCCTTGTTGATCGTACTTAATATGTGTACCGGCCAACATGTCCCCTGGAATGTTATACTACCCAGTCTATACACATGTTGCGCCATTAGGTGTAATGTGTCTATGAAACATATTCTTGTTTAAGTGAGTTGTGAATACATTTCATTCACTAGAGTTACATAACAACAACCACCACCACCACCACCAACACCACCACCACCACCATCACCACCATCACCACCACCACACCACCACCACCACCACCAACAAGAACAACACATTTTAACATACCTGTAATGCTGTAAGTTTGTTGTCCTCTCTTCCATATTAAGCTTCAAGGTTTTTAACATATATAAGTTACCTTTGTGTGTGCCCGGCTGAAACGATGACGTATGAAGCTACCTTAGTGCTTTTTATGTGCGACAATAAGATATGTACCAGAGGGTTTACACAGCTAACAATGATTATACTTCCTGGTTTGTGCCATACACATTTACTTACAGACAGGTAGGAACAATAACGACAATGTCTGTATATAGGATCTCCACATACTTTTGACTATATTAAACTATTTATGAAAGAAAAATTCCAGAGAATGACGCCTGGATTATAAAAGCTGAACTATTATTTCCTGCATACTACCAGCACAGGAAGATAGCCCGCGGGATTAAAAGTGATAATAAATACTGTAGTATATTGAATTAACATTATCAAACAGCGAGGCCATTGCTGCAGAAAAAAACCTATTGAAATGAAGGGAAAGGTGTAAATGTAACAGTGTATTGATCATTGTATGGTAAAACTAATTACCCAATTAAACAACGGAGGGACAAAACTTCTGAATACAGGTTTCCATAGTTGAATTGGTACTCATGCTTTTATAACAATTATGGAAACCTAGATTCAGGAGTTGCTTTTCTACTTTGTGTATTTGCTTAGAAAAATACCATGAAAAGGATTCTGTATACCACTAGGTATTCCCCTGAAACCTAAAGGATGAATGGAAACAGTACTTGACCCTTATTGGACGTTTCATTTTCCCCCTACATCATAATTACCAAATTTTACATTTGGATATCGCACCAATCCCAACCTGTGGCTAACGTTCAATGTTAAGTTGTGACGTCATATCGCATGAGGCCTTTTTAATGAAGACTATCAACAAGAAATTCTGTTATTAGCTTTAAACGGGAATCTATATCATCAGACCTAAGGATCTTCACGCATAGCTTTAAACGGGAATCTATATCATCAGACCTAAGGATCTTCACGCATACCTTTAAACGGGAATCTATATCATCAGACCTTAGGATCTTCACGCATACCTTTAAACGGGAATCTATATCATCAGACCTTAGGATCTTCACGCATACCTTTAAACGGGAATCTATATCATCAGACCTTAGGATCTTCACGCATACCTTTAAACGGGAATCTATATCATCAGACCTTAGGATCTTCAGGCATACGTTTAAACGGGAATCTATATCATCAGACCTTAGGATCTTCACGCATACCTATAAATGGGAATCTATATCATCAGACCTTAGGATTTTCACGCATACCTTTAGAACGATATAATACAGACATGTATTTCAAAGAGACTCCGTTAACACGTACCGGTTTTATTATCAACAAATATTATATGACGCTTTCAGCCCTATGCAATAACGTCGAAGGCTTTTAAATGATAATAATAAGATGACATGTCAATACGCTTTATATGTTGCTCGAAATCAGAGCTGTATGTACAATACCAATTTTTATGGTTCTCTAGCATTTCCAAAGAAGATTTCTTCGTTTTCAGTATTCGAGTAATTCAGCGTTTTTGCCAAGGTGAAACAACTCTATTCTAATCATTTTACTATATTTTATATTGTTATAGTTCTTTTTAAAATTTTGTTGAGGTCACAAAAATTAAAATAACGAAAGATGAACATTTAGATTTGACTGGATTTTATAACATTACAAAAGACAAAAGTAGATAAAAGAGACATTAATGTTTTTATTTTTTAGTCGATCAAAAGATAGCATAACCTTTTATTAGTTTCTTTATACCTGACGAGCCTCAACATTTTTCTGTATCCAAATGTCCAGATCCGCAAGGCTATACCTCTGTAAATGTAACATTCAAGAGTAGAACAAAGATAAAATAAAATGGCCACTACACGTTTTCATTGTGAAATTAGTTCTCTACAGTATACGACAGGTAACACGAACTAATGAGATGAATAGATGACATAGAAAAAGTAAAATAAGTTGTAAACTTTACATGATAAACTCTTCATGCAGCAATTGAAATATATATATCATATAATGAAAAGGGATCTCGTTCGTACAGATAACTGTAATACAGAAAAAAATAATTCCGGAATTAGTTTCGATGTGATAAATTCACAACAAACAAATCACTTCTTGTTACAAGGATGACGTTTTAAATGGTAGATTTATTGCTTTGATACATTATCAATCCTAGGTTAAATATGTTTTTCACAAAATCCTCAAATTAACAGCGATGATATTTCACACGTAAACTTTTACAAAGTAATCCTAAAGATTGCTATTCTGATTACATTATAATTTTTTTATTCTCGATTGAAATCAGCATTAGCATTCTAGAAAAAAATATGCAAACTTTTGTCTTAGTGTTTTGTAAGTAAACCAATCGATTTTTTTTAATGATATTTATACATTTATTGCAATATACTTTAGTAGCAATTTACAATATGAAATATAAAAAAATACAGACTTTATTTCATATTATCAGATAACAACATTAACAAATACACTATATAGATATATTCGCTGATATAAAACTGCATATTGTATTCATATTTTACATTCTCGCATGGGATAAGGCTATATGTTGCTGCTGATAGAATGAAAAGGAATAATGACGAAACAACTCGTCCGACATAGCTTTCTTCCCATCCAAATCATGGGACAGTTATACAGTAGTTGTATTCTTTGTTGTGCTATTGTTACGTTGTGTCACGTGTCTTGATTTAAAAGTTAGCGTACAGTAGGCGTTTCACTTTCTCAACTCTGAATCTGCCAAACCCTGCCCACAGAACTCCTCCCTGTCCACATAAACAACCCAAGGTCTGTCTGTGTAAGTATGGAGCAGTCGCGGGTACTGTCCATCACTGCCCAGTAGGTGTAGGCTGTTCACAGAGTCAGCAATCATCAGCTGTCTCAAGCTATCGTACGCTAAATCCGCGGCACAAAACTTTCCTGATTTACACTTGATGATGTGTTGGGGTCGTCCATACCTGAATTTTTTTTGAAGATATTTGTCCAGCACTTTAACAACTGATTCGTCCTTACCGCCATGATCTGCCAAATCCATGTCAACTACCGCAATATTCTCGCTGACTGGACATTGTGACATCCTCCATGGTGAGTTTAGTAATGGATTCCACATCAAGTATAGGTATGTTCTGGTGACGAGGCCTTTCTTCCCTTCTTTAGTGTACCCGGTATTCTTTGTTTTGCTCCGACAAGGATACTATCATCAGAAGTAACACGCAGGCATCGGGGTTCATCTTTGGTTTAGAACCTACTGGTCAGTGTCACTAATGTTAACTCCTAAATCATACTAGCGTTCACTATTTATGTTCCTGGGACTTGTATATTACCAAGTTAAACACATATTACATGTGAAGTATGAGAACGATCTTTCCAGTACTTTCTGAGAAATAACGCTAACATTTTCTTTGCTCTGTATGTTTATGACTGGAACCATTACGATAGATTGAGATTTACCAAAATAAGATTACAAATCAGATTACAATCGATGCGACATTTAAAGAACAAGGGAATCTTATATATGAAATTGTAAAAAGACCCCCTGACTTTCTGAGAAATAACGCTAACAAGACTGGTTTGAGGACAAAAGAAGGACGGACCACAGACAACGGAAGCAGGACGATTTGAAAGACCCCCAATCTGATAATGGCGGGCTCAAACATCACATAGTATTAGACGGTAAAGGACATCGTAATCATAGTTTAATTACCCTATCACGTTGAGTGCAGAAAAGATAAAGATGGACTATACTCGCTGATTTGTAAAGAAAAATCTTCAAAAATCACAATATACCTCATTGGCTTCAGTCATAAATATTACAAATAATAATAAACTTCAAAAATCATATATTTCATGAAATCGATTTGAATAAAACAAATTTGATTATCTTCCAAATCTTGTCTTTACCGCAATATGAATTGATGCTAACATAGAAACAGGATCTTAAAAATTAGGGCATAATCCGATTTTTTTCAACATTTTGATTCATGCAACCAATGCGTTTTATATTTGAGGCCAAAATATGCAAAATCTATCAATTTGGGAAATGTACAGAAATAACAGATACTCAAATAAATTTTGAATGAATGGAGCACCTGAATCCTGCTGCCTTATTCATTTTATTAAAAATGCAATTACTATCAGCTTCACCTGTCCAGGACAAATATATAGATTGGATTTCTGATACTACTAGAGTATTCATACGAAGAAAATGTTAAACATCATTGTGTATAAATTTTATAATGTGAAAAAAATCGTTTGTTCGGGTTTTTTTTCAGATTTTTAAAACCATTTACGCATTGTACCTATGCGATATGTATATTTTATTTCATTAAAATGACTATACACGATTTTTCCTACAAATACCTATTGCATTACAAATTTTCTTTTTTTTTTTGCTGAAAAATAATCATGAACTTCATTGTTTTGGATTTTTTGGTAATAGAGTCACCTCGCCCCGAGTATCACCTCTCGTCACTTATTACATAGTATATTTCATTGCATGTAGAAATATCAATTGTGTTTTTCACAATACAAACATATCCTTAGGACTCTTCTTTTGTTTTCCGTTAGATTACTAACTAAAATTTTTGTTCAAATATTAACCATTGAAGATCTCTGTCCAATTACCAGCAAAACACTAGAAGATTCCATTGTAGGATTTTTGTGCATAAAGTATCCCATGGTGGTTTTATATGTTCTATATTTAGCTATAACAAGGAAATTCGGGACTGTACCTAGAATGTTATTAAACAAGGAAGTTCATAGAATTGTATGATCAGTTCTAAATTTCTGAATACACTGATGAAATGAGGAGACCAAAACACCTTTTATAATAGTAATAGTAATTCGAGGTTCTTATATAACGCTTTATTACAACCTAGTTCATAGATCGTCTCAAAGCGGTTCACAAATTATTATCCGTGGTTATAGGGCCTTTGCAACCAACCAATATCTTTCTCAACTCCCTGGAGAGCATACAGCTGGAGCTGCTATTTCGACGCTAACAGCTAGCATTCCACAATTCTAGCACTGCTCAACCACGTACTCATTTACCGCTGAGTAGACTGGGACTCTTTCTCAAAGATACAACACAGAGCCGTGGCGTGACTTGAACCCGCAACCCTTCGGTCACGAGCCCGGCGTACTACCACTAGACTACCATACCGTGTCGTGGAGGTGAGGATAGATAACGACACAGCTACCGGTGTCTTATGCAATATTCAAAACAGAACATGTGTACACAAGTTTATCAGTCACTATGTAAACAGGTTGTGTTTGTGTCGTTGTCTAACAGGTAGAACGAAACATAAAGCGTTATCGAGAAAACTACTGACGTCATTGGAGATAGCAGTTTATACTGTAGGGAAAATTTTAAACATGGCTTCCGCAAGCAGGACCCGACCAAATCTACAGCCTAATGTGGAGCTGGGATTCTACTGTAGAATTGCTAAGCTTCTCCTGTCTGTGGGGACACACACGCTTCGTCAGCAGTTAGTCCATATTGTTGGAGACGTCGGTGCCTTCATCCGGGATGAACAGGTTATAAAGAAGTTAAAAGCAGCCAAGTGTTTTTCTGCATATCAGTGGAAAATAATAGCTACTGCTGATGTTGATGAATTTGATATCACATTATTATCAGCCCTGCTTCTCAACGTTTGCAATTTATCAGATGGGCATAAGAAGTATATCAGAGATATACGCCAACACAGAAATGATCTATGTCATTCCCATGATGCCTGTATCACAAAGGCAGGTTTTGACACAAAATGGAAAAATGTATCCGACACATTATGTAACATTGCCCAGCTTTGTTGTCCTGCTTTCCGAGACGAAATTGAAAAAGAAATTACAGATTTAAAGAGCGCTCCAATAGATGTGAGCAGGGATCAACATCACTTCCAGGTTCTACTGGAACACTGCCTGATTGAAAGGGACTTTCAACATGGTATCCTTACCCAGCAAACGGAAGCAAATACAAAACTACAACAGTTAATCAATCACCTTAGTTTGCTCGAAAAGCGACAAGAGGCACGTCAAACGATACAAATACTCAAGGAGGTAAACGATGTGATGATAAAATGTGTCCAAAGTAACGAAGATAAGTCGGCAATATGTTCTTTACTCATGGAGGACATGAATGGCATTATAGATAATCACTTATCATCATTACAAAAAGGTGAGTATCATTTGATATTGATGGTTCATCATTCTCTAGCATTACAAATATTTGCGTTACAATGATACAATAAATGATAAATGATAAACGTTTACCATTATATTTCCAAGATGTGTGAAAATCTGAAAACTATGATATCATTTTGGTTCCATCGATATGTTTAATCACTGGTTATGATTGCGTTCATAAAAAGTTAAGTATAACATTGGATAGCATGCCATTGTCTTTGTTATCTTTGTCTAGGAATACAAGCGGAATTACAGAGTATATCTAAAAGTGTTGCTGGTGCCACAGATTTAATACAAGAAAATGGGCAAGATTTGAAACGCATGGAGATGAAATTGGACAAACTTTCACAGAATAAACCGGTAGTGAACCTAATAGATGACGCTTTTCTAGACAGTGAGTTTCTATTTAGATTTTTTTAGTAACGAAAGTAATTGATTTTGTAAATATTGTCAAATGAAACAAGAATACCCATAAACTGATTATGATATATTTACGGATGATTCTATTTGCAGTGGTAGCTGATGGAATAAAAAAGTTTCCCGGGAAAATTGTGCAGAAGTTGACACCAAGTATGTATAGCTAAATTAAATATTTGTTTATTTCAAATATGTTTGTATATATGTATGTATGTATGTTTGTATGTATGTTTGTATGTAATACAATTTATTTATGTTGTACTGAAATTCGATTGGAAGACAAAGACGTAACCAAACCGAACATAAAGGCAGATGAAAAGAAGAAATCTGAGTTGAAGGAAGAATACCTTAAACAACACAGCCATGATGAACAGATCAAATGTAAGTGTTCGTTGATAGTGTAAAGTTCATACGTTATATATTATAAGTGATATAATAATACCAAAGGAGCCTATGCTGGTTGTAACTGCAGTTTAGGGTGGTTATGGTTTTTTCCGATACTGTAAGGTATGTAAACGACCGGGCGGTCACCCATCTAGCTACTGACCACGCTTGACGTTGCTGAAATAGTGAGCAGGTCCCCGGGCAAGTGAGCTTGCCAGTAAGTCAATTTTTCCTCTCAAATTCCTTAGCTGTTACAGTATGAAGGGAGATCGTTTCAAACAACAAACCTACAACAGCCCAATCGACCATGTATTTAAATGGGAGAAAAGGAATATGGAATGCTGACTTTGCAATCATGATTTTTAACTATTATTCTTTATTACATTTCATTTCTTTTAAATTTCTTTTTACACATATAGGCGCCTTACAAATTGACTACAATTATTCTGAACTCCAATCTCGAACTGTGATCTACGGAAACTGGTGCTTTGTTAGGGGTTCGGTCATGTTGTGGAATAGCTTCCCATTTGCTACCAGGAAGTAAAAAACTATAGCTTAATTCGAGAACGATATAAAGACACATCTTTTAACGTTTTCGTTTTAAGCTCCTTTGCACAGACGTCATGTACGCACAAACCTATATATCTATATATGCATATGACGGTTAATTAAGAAATTCGTTAATTATTTTTACCAACATTTTCTCACCCTCGTTATATATTCCACCATAAAGCACGCACATTAGTTGATTATTTTTATTCTACCACGTCAAATGTAACTAAATGTAAAGTTTTGCTGTCTTATAAGGCGACATGACCTAGATAGTTCGATATGCAAATTAGACGCTGTTTTTTTGCGCGTGCAAGATTTATCACGTGATCGTGTTGCCTCGTTTGAACTTGATCAATGTGGCGCCAACATTTCTCAGTGCGTAGGGTTGGGATTCCCGGATTGCGTTTACTTCTAAAACCATCATCATCGTACCGATATCAAGCGGATTTTCTTTGAAGTGCCAGTGATACAACATCATACATTAGGCCGGACATGAGTTGGCATATTTAGTTGGTTGCCATGACGTGATGGAAAGTCGCTGACCGGCTGATCATGACGCGACCTTCAAATTCACCGACTTCACCTGACAGCTGTGTTTTGCAACCACTGTTCAGACCGATGCTACTTTTTGGAACATTATTCTTCACAAACGATATGTACACTGTAGGCGAATGCTCGACATCACTTTGATTTTTTGAAAGCAGACGACGTTTTGCAGACCAGAAACAACTGAACACGTGTGACGTCAGATACGATGTTTATTTCAATCAATCAAACATTGGCACGCTATCGACATCGTTCGTCAAAACATGAAATCAACGCTTGACAGTACATACACAAACTGCACACATCGTGAAATGTACGGCACTACTCAGTGAAGTAAAAACAGAAGTAATTAATAATTTACCATTTTGTCTTCAGACCTGTACATTTTAAATGTCAATAATTGATAAACCATTCTCACTGCACGGACCCACATACTTTAGGTCTATAGATCCGTGTTATCTTTTGAATGGCAGGCCTGTCAAATAGTTTGATCCCGCCTGACAGTTATGCTATTTTTGTTAATTCGTGATAAAATACGGGGAGGTTGTTGGAACAGCATGCGTGCGCACTATTTCACGTACATTGGTTATTGGCATTGGTTATTTGCACGCGCATGGTATATCGCTCAATAATGCACTCTTTTTAACCAATGAAAACCGTCGTTACATCACAGACGTGGTAGAATGTCTTTTTTAACCTGATGTAAAAAGCCTTAGAGTAATTTTGCTAATAATATAGGGCGCCGCTAAACAAATGTTTTATATTATTATTACAATATTACAACGTCCTAAATGTACCTTACTAAGAGTTACGATAAAAGTTGTTTTTCCCGAGAAAAATCATTGAAGGGACATGACCAGTCGCAAAAGTAGCCGATTAATAAACCCGTATTGATCGACGTTAAGGTCGTGATGGGGTAATTTATTGTAAAGGTCACCCTCTTGTCAGCATAATTCCGTATTATATATCTAGAGGTTAATAGCAGAATCCCACGGCTTACTAAACCGATAGCATCACGATTCGCCTTAAGCATCCCTGTCACACTGCTATGGATTGTTTTAAAAAGACAATGATCTCCCCTGAACTTCCATTTGCATATAACTGTGATACAGTTTAATTTGGCAACGCCATTACCGTTGACCACGTAGCTTGATCGGTTAGAACGATAGTGTGGCAATCGGAAATATAGAGTTGGAACTCTGATCTAGCCCTGGTCAATGTTTACACTCAGAACACTGCTGTTGATTATATTTTGTTTGCACCACATCTTATATTTCGCACAACTGTCCTACAAGGTATGGTTTTCTTTTCAGTAATTATTTATCAATGGTAAAGTAACGACGGAAGAAAAAACTTCCAAAACTTAGGTATAGTTTTTGACAGTGGTAAGGGGATCTTAAACAAGAGACATTTTGCCCGTAGTTGCCTATAATATGAAGTGATCTATGGACGTTAAAAAAATATTGTTCAATATAGGATGCCCAATTCACATTTAACTCTCGTTTGACAGACAAAAAGGAACGTAACGAACGTTGAATTTGGTTTACAACAAATAAACATCCTTATCGTGCATGTATTTTTTAATTTTTCCATAGCCGCATTTTGGCTTATAAAATCAGTTGTAAAGTTGGCAAATATAATATTTTAGCAGACGGTAATGGGTTATTCAAGTAATCTAAATTTTGGATCCAATCTTCAGGACATTTCAAGTTTCTGTTATTCATACCAATACACTGTATATAGAAATTCATGAAAACAATACACTTTATTTCTTCAACCAGCCGATCAAAATAACACACATTCACTGACCTTTACGTTTTAAAGCAGTTTTCTATTTTTTCCTATTCTTTATTAAAATAATTCAAAAGTTTGATGATTTGAAAGAGTGAGCCAGCTAACGTCAGTGTCTACCTTACGTTTATTTTTTCTATAATGTTAAGTTTAAATTTTTCCTCATCCAGTAGATCACACAATTGCTTTGGAAGTTCAGAACCAGTACCTAACGTCGGCGATGTTAGAATTTTCCCGAACGTCTAGTAAAAACACCGTAGATTCTACAAATGTAAACAATGAAACCACGTCAGGACAGGACACAGAAATGGGTGAGGAATACAGAGCGGAATTGGAAAAAAGTAAACAATGCGATAAAAGCAATAAGAACAAGGCAGAGTGTTGTATTACCATTGTTTCCCGCCGGTAATGATATATATCTAAGGATCAGCCTAGCTATTGTAGAGAAAATATCCCGATACAAAATATGAATATTTTCTAAAGATTGTTCTTAGAGGTCAAAAATAAAGATCACAATGACTTGCTTTTGATACAGTTAATTCTGTCGTCTCAGAATAAACAGACGCATATAATAAATAAGATACGCTTTGGACAAATCTTTTTAAATGACTGCGGTTATAGGTCAAAGTGTATATCACTGTGACTTACACTTCGTAAACCACACTCCACCATCATTGGATATACATGCATACTAAATTTGGTTAATCCTGGTGAAATAGTAATCCAAAGTGCAAAGTCAAAGGCCAAAGCATATGGTGCAGCTCGATCGTCTGTGAAATTCGTGAGCCCGGTTGCGCTGGTCACATTACCGGCCGAAAAATGAATCGAACGCACCGGCTAATATAAAATATGGCTGCCACCTCTGGTGCTATCGCAATTGCCACATATTTAATAGTTAATGGCGACAGTAAATAAGAATTAGAATTCCATAAAGATATTCATATTGTCGTTTGTGTTCTGGTAGCCTAATAACCAGAAGTTTAGAGTCGCTATTCTGAGTTAGTTTGAGAATTACACATTGTGGTAACAGACCGTGATTAAAGTCATTTCGTCCTATGTGTAGCGATTCAGGGTGAAAGGTCTTTCGTGTTATGACTAAAAGACAGTTTTAAAAAGGTCACCCTCTTGTCAGCATAATTCCTTATAAAACAAATTCAATTCTTGTTGACATACTACTGATGTATTTTCTCTATAGCCTCAAAAGATGCTGATTGTGTATGTTCGGATATGATCTTTTAAGCCATCTTTTAAAACTTCTTTCATAACAAATCAGTCACAGAACACAACTTGTATCTCACACTGCGAGAATCTTATCATTCATCCGCCATGTTTATTGCCGTCTGCGCAGGTCACAGCAATGCGGGCGATCCGGCTGACGTCGGGTGGCCCACCAGCGCAGTACCTGACACAATCGAGTTAATTGCCCGATAAGCCGGTACCGCCGGCTTACTCGACGGTGGCCGAATCGAGCAGCATCCTGGTGACAGAGATCTGCTTCTCTTATTTTGCACTCTACCATCCCAAGATGTACTGGCATACCAAATTTGGTTACTTCAGGTGAGAAAGTATAACTATAAGCCCCAGAAAATTTGTTAAGTTTAAGGTTAAAAGTCAAACCATAGGTCTTAGTGCCCTACTTCTCGTACTCTGATCTATGCTACACAGAGGTGAAATAGTATAGAAAATATAATCCGAAAAATATTTTTAAAAGATTAATGTCAAAGGTCAATTCATTGGTTTCAGCAAACTGCATGTACACAAAATCGTGTTACTTCAGATGAAATAAAATATGCCCCGGACAAGCTTTCTTAAAATATCAGGTCAAAGGACAAAAGATAGGTCATAGCTACCTGCTTTTCATACTCTGGAATGTAATAGCCAAAGACTCAGATGAAATTGTATAGAAGATATATTTTGGATGAAAAGACGGATGGACGGAGCGCAAACCTTTTCCCTCCTCCTCGCCCTCCTCCATTCATTACATGCATTATCATTTCAATCTCAGTCATTGCTTTTTTTTGCAGATTGTCTTACAAAACTGTGGGAGAGCGAAATAAAAACAGAACACAGAAGATTGACCATATTGTATATATGTACATTTGACTCCATTACAGGTGTTGAGTTGGACCTTGCTCGAGGTGTTGGACCAGACACAGTGCTACTCCTGGACGCGTCTTGTAATATGAAACGAGATGGAAATTTCGCAAACATGATGACATTAACAAGACAAATTATCCAAGGTATCTAGGCAACATATGTCAGATCTGTTCAAATGTGGCTGATTTGCAGAACACGTTTAAATTTAACGAACATCTAAATAAGTTTTAATTAGATAATTCATCAATGTATCCACTATTTTTCAGGTATTTTTGAAGAAAGTGTTCCGGAAGTTTTAGAAGAAAACATTGCCATAGTAACATTTGGACGTTTAACAACTATACGGCAGCACCTGACAAACGACCAATACAACTGGATGACTTGCTTAGGTATCACTATACCAAATAAAATTGTCGCTTCTCACAGAACCCGTTTCAGATCTGGAACAGTAAATATAGCTTAAAAAACAGTGGATATTTTCTGAGACTTAGTCAATATAGCTTTAGACTTAGTGAATATAATTGTATATACAGCGAATACAGTTTTAGAAAAGTGAATTTAGTTTTAAGCACGGTAGTATAGTTCTAGTCATAGTGGATGTAGCTTTTGTCTTGCTGAATCTATTTTAAAAAGACTGAATATACAATCTAGCATAAGATAACGTGAATATAACTTTCGACACTCTAAATATAACATTAGTTACAGTGAATATTGCATTAAATACAGTAAAATTAGCTTTGGATTCATTAAATATAGTTTTAGACACAGTGAACATTACTTCAGACAAAATAGATAAAGCTTTAAAGTCCGAGAATATTATTTTAGATACAGTAAATATGGCTTAAGAAGAAGTGGATAAAGGTTTACACAAAGTAAATAGCGGTTTAGTCAAAGTGGATATAGCTTTAGTCTCTGTTTAAAATGAGTACATGCACAAGGTCTATCATCCAATAATATTTATGCTTATTAACCATTGAAATGGTTCTACTAAATCGGATACATGGTAGAATGTCTAGAAATGCATATGATGTGTTCAAATCTATTCATTTCTTGTCAACAGAAGGAATAGAGAATAGTGGACCAGATGGACCTGCAGATTTATGCAAGGGAATACGAATGTGTGAAGCTGCAATACAGGTAAACAGTAAGTATACAATTGAACACGATATTATTTATTGCTTAGATAATCTTAACAACTCATTCTAGGAAACGATATGCACATGAAAGATGAAATTAATTCAGAATGCGTAGAATGTTAAACTAACTGCATGGACTTAAGAGATGCTATTTCTTTATATATGTGCCGTATGTAATGCAAGTGCAACATTTAGAAAGGATCGAAAAATAACACAATAAATGAAAGCGATTATCAAAATGATATAATTGAATATTTACAGAATAATTAAGTAAATGTTTCGGGAATATTTTGTTCCGTCTCAATCAGTAATAACTTACTTTGTATCCATTCCCATCTTTATACATGAACATGAATTTATGTTTAAGAAAAAACCCTTCAGAAACATGGTCTTCGCATATCACCACGGGTAATACTGATAACCGATGGAAATATCTCAGACCCATCCGATCCTTCAGAATCATTTCAGGTATGTAAATGTGTAGTAAATTTTCCTGACTGTTCCAATGATTACAATATGAAATTATCAACATTGATAAATTGCAAAATCAGTGTAAATGAATTGTATTATTCAAAGGCAAGTATTTCTTTCATCATTTAAGGATGAACAAAATGGATTTTTTTACCTTTAAAATTAAAAACTATTGATGGCATTTTGAAAATTCATATACAAATATAGTTAACATAGAACTAAGTCAAATAAGTGTGATGATAAATATATCACATCTCTCACGAAATTTTATTTTTTACTTCTGAATGATTGTGGAATAAGATGCGTTTTGTTATATGTATGACATATTTAAACAATAAATCTTAATTTCGAGGTGTATTAATATTCGCGTTAATTTGCAAGAAAAAATATTGATGCATTTAACTTATCCGGGGATATTAGTTTCATGGGAATTACTGTTAATATTAAAACTTACTTTTTTCCCCCGTAAATCCAACCACATTTATTTTCAACATGTACATTTTGAATTCTGTAAACAAAGAATCGAGAGAATGCCCGGCAACAGGCGTACCGCCTCATGGATGCGTTGGCCAGAAACAACCATAAAGTATTTTGCGTGCCATTGTGCGGTCATGGGTCGCCTTCTTATGTAAGTCAAACGTGTGTAGTAATTTTATGATTTTTTCTGCATTAGGATCATTGACTTTTAATATATATATTAAGAAAAATAAACAAACCTAGCATGTACTTACATAGTGATATTTCGTTTTATTTATGTTATACTTAAAACGACCTTTATATGTGAAGTTAAACCAAAATGTCCTGTAGTAATGAACTACAGGTAAAATATTCATATCGGGCGATTGTCTTCTATTAGCAAATAAGCTCATCTGTTTAGTGTTTATGTCTGTCGTGTATTTAATAACAAGCCGAGGGACATCACGTTGATTATTAACATGTAACCTAGCTGACTTTGTACGATAGATCTACCAATGCTTCTAAATGAAAATTGGCTCGCTTAAGGTTCATGTAAAGTCTGTTTTCAACTAAGTTACAAAAAGGTCATAATTTCTTAATTTTTACCTCAATAGCCCTGGTTTTGGTACCATTCTACACCTCCATGACCACAATACAATAGGCGAGATGACAGGACGCAAAATATACATGCATTGAGGTTGACGAGCATCTTTTTCCCAGTATATTGTTGAATGTGTGGGTCTTTACAGCTTCCTCCTCATAAGTTCACGGCAATGTTGTTACTTGACATGTATTTCTATGGCTTCAATTAGTTGTGCTGCACACCTGTGTTATAAAATAAATAAAAAAAGTTATCATTAGTGTTAATCAATTGGTGTTTGATGTCCAATCAACACATTTAGTTTCTTTACACACTGATCTCTTGTGATCTAGTCTCTGGTAGTTAATTTTCAACTGCAACCATCAAGCCTTTGGCGAGTTGAGTATAATGCATAACCTATTTTCACACATATCTGAATATTTTGGTATATGATCAATTGGAGGACACTATACTTTCTTCTCAGTAAGAACTACATGTACTATAATTCAGCTACGAGAATTTGACCAGAGATGACTACCAATCATTATCTGTCCATCAGTTGTCACTTTGACAAGTTTTTCAACACAATGTGGAAGAATATTGTGGAAATGGTAATGGCTGTTTAATATCTGTTCAACAATTACATGTTGACTGGAGGTAATCGCCAGATGTTGTGTTGGGCGAGGACAACAAAGGGAACCTTGGAGGAAATCATTGACCTGTTATAAATAATAATCATATGCGGCTGTCTAACACACATAGGACAGATGGAAAAGACACCCTATTCACACATGTCATCTTGAATGGCAGCTGTCCAGTTATACTGGTATCCCACTAATGCTGAGCAAAATCCAACAATGAGACAAGAGATCCATGGGCCTTAACGGTCAACTGAGTAAATGGAGGCCATCTTGAGTAACCAGAGTACATGCTGCAGTGATAGATGGAGGAAACCTGAGTGCCTGCTGATAGGCAAGGGAAACCATTCAACCTTTCTTACTTGAGTGGCTCTACCAGGAGCATAATTATGTCCCTGCCAGTATAGCTATCCAGGTATCCCCAACACGAGAAGAGGGACATAGAGTCTGTATCGCACACCTGGATACAGATGTTTAAAGTACTTGATATGAGGTAAAGATATAGCACTTCATTGTAGGTACTGTAAATTTCAGAAATATCCATCCAGTATTTCTGGAGAAAAAACGAGAACAAACTTCCAAGATCAAAGATGACGGCCTGGTGGCCATCTTGTTTTAATGGGATTTTACCTCTATTTCCCATATTGGGCCCCGCCCCTCTGCCATTGTGGCCACAACCACCGTTTATACAAAATTGAGTGCCATTTGCCAAATGATGCTTCACACCAAATTTAGTTAAAATCCACTAAGCCGTTCAGGACTAGTAGCGTTTTAAATGAAAGGTTGACGGACGAACGCCGGTGGTGCGCCATGGCATAAGCTCACTTGCCCATCGGGCAGGTGAGCTAAAAAGGTGCAGCACAGGGGATTGACAGATGACAACCAGAAGCACAATGATTGTTTAAGAGTCATGTGACCTAAACATTTTCGACAACACATTAAGTGAAGATAAGCACTTCACAAACAACTGAAAGCAAATTACCTTACAAATCTATGAATTTAACATTTCCCTCTTGGAAATCCCTCTACAAATTGTCACACACATAGGGGGTCATCATCGCCATCATACAGTACTTCATACTCTGTGTGTTGTTCGCCATCGCAAGACTGACAGGACATTCCCTTGTAATCCACACACAGTGGAACCATTCTCTTTATCGCTTTGGCTGCTTTGAGTAGCATCGCGGGCATTACATGTACTGTCCTGTGTTGTATTGATTCTGGCCCTGCAGAAATCGGAGCAGTTTGCTTGGTGTCAAAAATTGTGATGGATGATGTTCCTTATGTCGTGTGATAACATTTGTTTGACTTGTGACGTGTTCACCTTTTTTAATGTATCATGGGATCGCATCCGTTTAGCACAACGTCCCGCACTGACGAATCGAACTCGTGAGGCCTTGGGAAGTTTGTGTTTTCGTTTATATTGTGCGTTGCCATCCACCAGTTTCTCTAAATTTGACCTCAAACACTTACAAATGTGATTAGCACACTCATCCTTGTGTACATGGCATCCCCACATCGGTACATCTGTCCTGACTCTAGCAAACGCTGAGGAGTCTCCATCTCCAATAAGTGTCGTATAACGCAAACCATGCATTTGTTCCGCTTTCTTGAACCCCTCATCAATAATGTCACATTACATAGCTTGTGTGCTCTCCTTCAAATTTTGAAAGCATGTATGGGGCTTGGCAATAATGTGTTGGTTGTCGGCACGTTTACATATATACCAGTGCTTGCTACGTATGCCGATGTGCAAAATCCTGCCTGTCGCTTTCCCAATTATAATGCCAACTCCACCCAGGGCATTGTAACTATGCTTATAGCTTCTCTTATTCCATCCACCATCTGCAATTACGGAAATACACGGAACACCATCATGGAAATTCCCTTTCTCGTCGCAATTCTGCGTTCTTCTGCTCCAGCATCTAGGAGATCTTTGTGGAATTCCTTTTCCCACCAAATACCTAATCCTGTTCAATGGAAGTGAATACTGGCTATGATATACCAGGCGAGTCCTTTGTGGCCAGCACTTCGTGAAGATGTGAAGCTCCATTGCCAGTAGAGATGGATCCCCACACGGCTCTGACATTAATGTCGTATCTCCCTCTTGTGTTATCATAGGTAGTAAGTCTGGACTAGTCTCAAATTGGACATTGTCTGGTTATTTCACTTACATTGTTTTGTAATGAGTTCCAATTCATCATCCTGTAACCATGGACATTGATGTCTTTTACCTTACTGAGTCTGAATTTGAATTTGTCATCTTTACCTTGTTCACAAAGAGTTTCAATGCGATATTCACAAGCCTGACCTCTTGCAATATATCCAGCAGGAAGAAAAGTTCTGGAGTAGACATAGTTACGTCTACTAAAAGAGCGTCGGCAAATGCGCATGGATAATATATTACTTATGGAAAGATAGGCCCTGTATGAATATTTAGCAATTTGTGGACGTCGATTGTTTGACAACTTATTCTGTTTCCGCTGCTTGGAAAACCTTCCACCATCAAGGCCAAAATTATATCTAGGTTTCCAACGCGTTTTCATGGTTTCTGATGGGCTAATTTCAACACTTCAATGATCAGTTTTGTCATGCAGGCCTACAACTAGCTTATGAATGCGATGGAAGTTTCAAATACAACATGTTGTGGAGATTTCATATTTACATTTTAGGCCAAATAAGGTATATACACAAATGGGGAGTGTTCTATCCGTTACATATTGCTTTTACATATATATACAGGTAAACATAGTCACAGACAGCTCAAAAACCAGGTAGGATTCATGTTTTGTTGCCACGATATTCAAATTTGCACACGTTCTTCTTCCATGCTTCCATAAATTGTTTATTCTTTATTGACACTTCAAACAGTAATATAAATAATCGGGTTTTTTTATAAACATATTTAATTTCACAAGAAAAACATATGCATTGACCAAAATTGCCAAAAACTTGTAAATTTGTTTTGAACAAAAAATAGTTTTGCCTTCATTTCGCATTTCCTGTTTGTGTCACTTGTCAAAATACAACGCACAAATCTCGTCTTACCAGGACATCGACTCAAGCAATACATTATCTATGTTAACTTTATGTAACTTACAACTGTATTCTATCACACAAACCATCCTTACAACAAATAAACATTGTCGGTCTTCTGCATCTCAGCGTTTTCTCCTCAGCTTCATGTTGTTGACGTCTGATGCACATTGCCGGAAGTGACGCCGAACAAACAGTCTGCTCTTGGATATCATGATTTCTTTTTCTGTAGTAATACTCCTACATTTGTGTAATTCAATTCAGCATCAAAAGTATTTTAATATTTAAGGAATTATGCTCTTGTTTTGATAACTATGACAGGAAAAAATTGTCATTATTGTAAATTATCATCATCATTACTGTTCTGACTTTATTTTAATGTTTTTGTAGCTTTGTAATATGTCGTCTCTGCTTTGTTTCAAAGGTATAACTTCTTTGATGAAAAGTACTGCTTTAGTAGCAAATTCTGTTTCCTGCAGTATAAGAGTGCTATTTGGCGAATGTCTCGAAACTTTCTGGCAACTGACTTTACTAATTCGGCACACTGCGGCTAAGTGAGTTGTTTGTAGCGGTTTAGAGTAGAGACACAGTCATTAACAATCTTTGCTTGACAAAATAATCAGATGTTTTCGAAAGTTTGGAAAATAAATTTATTTTCAATTCCGGTTTGTGTTCAAAATACCAAAACATTTATTTTTCAAACCAAACTTATTGATCTTATTCCGAACATTGCACGTATTTGATTAGAAAACTATTTATCATATATATTTCAATGTTACGCTTGACAGTTTGTATCAAACAACACAGTATATAGTTTTGATTCAATCGTTCATGTGACTACAAATTGTTGGCTGATATTCCGTAGATATCGTTGGACATGACGATGCAGGATGAAAACATGTTTTTGAAAATTCCTTTATATATATTTACTTATCATCCCCTGAATTTTGATTTTTATAACTAGCAGGACGGACATAGAAGAAGGAAACAAACACACATGTTTCCAAACATTGAATGTTTTATTCTATTACTTACAGAAATTTCTCGAGAAATTGGCACACCGAGCATCAGGGAGTGTCATTAGGCCTGACGAAAAACAATACATCACAAGATACCATCGTAAAATTGTAAGTTTGATATATTATCACCATTGTTGATTATTTTATTAAAACCATGATCACTATTTTTTTATTCTTCCATCCTCCTCGATGAAAACCCATATATAGTTCTTTCTTTATAATTTCGGATCGAGTTTCTTTTAGTGTTGGTATATCATTATTTTTTTAAATAATTTTTCATTAATTGAATATCTCTTGAGACCATATATTATTTGTTTATTGTCGTCACGTGTTGATCCCTTTAGATCCTTACCGCGGTAAACTGGAATTCCCTTGGGAGAGTGATAGGGTCTTCGGCCTTAAGTCTTGAAACCATATTAACCCTACTAACCCATATACAAGAATAAAATGAAGAATATACCTTCAGTGCGATGAATATGCCAGACTGTTATGAATATTTTCCCCCTTTTTAGTTCTGGGCATTGCTGTTTGAGAGCCATCATCCTGGTATCCAAGTATCGGAAAGTTCATATATTGCCGACATACTCAAACAATCCAAGCTTCCGTTTACTGACGAAGAAGTGGTAATGCTCCGATTAGTTGCTTTTATTATGACATGTTTCTTGTTACATAACCAAGTGATTTTATGTGACGTTTCGATGACTAGTACGGTATGTACTCTGTCACCTTTATCAGACAAATGACCAGTGAAGCATATGCACACAACGGTGTCAAATGTGGACAACTCATACACATTTTACACCTTTGTATAAATATGCTTCACTAGTCATTTGTCTGATGAAGGTGACAGAGTACATACCTTACAAGTCATCGAAACATCACATAGAAACACTAAATGGTTGTATAACGAGACACATTTCATAATCCATACTTACCAACCCGAAGAAAATGTTTAGAAATAGTTGCTTTTATATTGAGGTGTATGGAGACGAAATACAGTTCACGTGGAAATATCCTTGTAGTCAATAATGACCAACGGTGATTCACGAGACTGAACACAAATCTATGTAAACTTCAAACTGCTATATTATTTGATAAAACTGGAAATAAACGTGATAATCCATTGCTTATATTGATATTTGAATTTAACAATGAAGATTGTTTTAGATTGAATATATAATTTTGTTATTGAATAATATTGATGTGTTTTTTTTTTTGTTTTTTTTTTAAAGTGTGTTAGTTATACATTTTACAGGAAGATATGGAGGAGATTATAGCCAATCCGGACGTGTTAGGCTACGCAAGATCTAGTCCCAAAATTGGCAGGTATACAGACCCTCATGACGACTTACCTCCCCTTGGTACTCGCGTTGTCCAGGGGAAGCATTGGCGAGAGGATGAATTCAAGGAACACCATTGTGGCCCGGGGACCGGGACCGTCATTGGGCAAGACGATGGTAAGATTGCTATTCATACGTTTTACTGTGATACGCCTCTTTTTCCCAAAGAATTTCAATCTAAGAAATATGTTATATCTTTTTCAGAGAGCTATTGGTCATATTCTTTCGAAAGAGCTCAACACAAAGAAACATGTGCCTTTTGTAAAGAGGGTGACATTTAGAAATGTGTTTATCCGGATCTAATCTATCCGGATCTAATCAGCCATACACTCAGAAAAGTGTATAACATCTAATTCGTTGTTTTGAAACAGTAACTCAGACTTTCCTGATCACTTAATGAAACAAATAAAAACCAATCACTAGAAATACGAATTTAGAAATATCAATTCAAAATTTCTCCAAACAAAATTAAAAAAATGTTTTCAAACATCTATTGCATCATATGGATATTCATTTAGGATTTTTCATTTGTACAAGAGATCAAAAGAATAAAATTAATATTAAGTATTCCGAAATATATTTGTGTCATCACAAATACTAGATATTTTAAAATATTGTCTTTCACATTTATTTACTAACCCGCATGAAAGCTAGGGATACACCTCATAGTCATTTCGCAAATATTTATAATGTTCCCTCTGATGAGATTAAAAAGTTATTTACAATAAAACTTCATTTTACTACAACCATTTGTCCAGAGACATTTTGGCGTCATAAAGGGTTTTGCGATAAATTGAACAAAATTTATAAAGGAATTTAAAAAAATAATCAAGGAATAGGGACATTGAAATATGTTTGCTGTAAATGAGGTGGCAAATGAAAGAGGGGCATTATATCGAGTTTTTTTTTTGTATTTACCCATGTTGACTATATTTTCTGAGAATTATTGTAGTCATTCAGCTTTGTCGTTCAAATATTTTTAGAAAGCGTTTGGGTGGAATGGGACGGTTGTGAAGACGACACGCATTACAAATACAAGTATGGTCTTAACAAATTCTTTGAGGTCAGGGTCCATGACCGACCACGTACTCCGGAAGAGGGCAAGGCATTTCTGGTTGGTTGTTGTGTCACTAGTAAGTAATGTATGCTGTATATGTCGTTTACAGTACGAAATCAATAATATTGCAAAGAAGTAATTTGATTTGTACGCAACTTGGGTAAGCTTCACTATTTTATGATCCAATTTGCATATATTCTTAACATTTCCTTTTTCTTTCACATAATGAACAAACATAATCATATAAACTCCGTAATATTGGTTTTTAAAAATAGTTTAAGAGTGTATAAAGGTAACCATGAAGTAACATGATTGTATATTTATTCATATTTGATTAAATATATAGACTTCAATGTATGGTCAGTCTTACTTGGTGATTAATGTTTTCGATTCTGGTTTCGCTTCCATTCGGTTGTTGTTTTTGTCCTGTTCTGTTGACTCTTTGATATTTTTTTAACTGGTAGTGATACAAATACAATTAAAATACTAGATGCTTCATCAATATAGTATGGTTTATTACACTGTATAATGATTTGGCTGTGTTTTTGTATGACCATGTGCTGCAGCGAAATAAATGCTTACTTATTTTGGCTTTCTTGGCCTGCAGAACGATTTTCAAATGGTTGCTTTAGTCTTCGTATTTTCAATTATTAAAAAAGGTTATCCACGTGGTTCTAACTTAGTTTTGAAATGTATTTTTCCTTCCAATTGCCAAAAGAATGGAATGAAGAAGAAGAACAAGAAGGCCTATTAGGTTATGGACTGGTGTTCATCACAAGTCCAAGATTTAAGACATTTGGTGTAAGTTGCATTTTCAGTTTGCTTCGTAAAGAAAAATGTGAAATTGACACTGACATTTTTGTGGTCTGCCCACCATGTACTGGAAGCAATATGTTATACATATCGATCAAAATAGGAAATTTATAAGTATGATATATTTCGATATTTCTTTGTGTTATATCAAGGATAGATGTTTTTGATAATGCTTGTGAATTTGTAGTTTTTACCCAAGTTCTCGATATGAGGACGTGACATTACTTTAATTCGACTTAAATTTACATGGCAAGTGTCATCGATGAAGCAGAAAAGACGCTTAACCTTCCGAAACATCTGGTCCGATTTTCTGTGTACTCCAGAGATATCCATTTAAAACTTTCGTTTGTTCATATTTATCGCAGAATTGCTATATAGTACAAACAATAAAATAACAATGTTTAATATAATTTGGCTAGGGCGCTTTTAATGGCATGGCTTTCTGAAGAGAGATGAAAGAAACTTTCTATTTTTTCTAATTCAGCCGCCTAAATATATTGTTATATTAAGATACTAACAAACTTATTATCTACTAGCCTTGTACTTAAATATAACAGTGAATGAAATGGTTGCAAAACGTTGGTGTTGTTTTTGTCTGTAGGTTCGCTGGAAGAACGGAGCTGTCATGTACCATGAATACAGTTCTGATTTCTATGCTCACGAAGAGGTTTGTATTTTAATTACAAGTTGCATATTATAAAAGCAATCATTTATCACTTATATAATAAAATGCGATTCATATACAAATAAATCCGGATTATTTCACCATACTTCCTGAAGTCCAAGACAAATAGTTAATCTACATATTTCTAAAATTCTTAGTAAGCTTCATGATCAATTGTTGCTCTCATGATCACCGAAGAAATTGAGTATCACCATAAAATATGAAATATTGCTTTTACACTTGTATATTATTTCTCGTTCAAGTCGACTTTATTGATATCCATATTACAAAAAATACAAGTAATATTAACATTATTGGTACATACATGTGTTTTAACACACATTCAAAATCATGTATATTTCACGCGTGTGAAAGAGAAATTCAATACTAACCGTATTCTCGAATGTGTAAGTACCAGTAGAAATGTACTTTTCTTCCACACACGTGAAATATGCATAACATTGAATGGAACATAGTGTGCTTATTAAGTTTTGAGATTTGAAATTGTGCTTATTACGTTAACCCAGTTACAATGGCTTCAGAATTAATGTATCAAAATATTTTACATTTTGTGACAAGGCCTAAAGTTTATGATGTCGTACTTCTATTAAATCCCAGTCAAGGACAAAGCCAAAAACGCATATTTCATGCTTTCTTATTGGTTATTATATAACATCGTTCTTGTATTCTGTATTTTCATTGGTTGTAATCCGAGTAATGGTATTTTCAACCAACGAAATAAGTTTAATATATTTCAATGCAGTGAAAAATAATACGTTTATTTGAAAATTCCAATACTACACTAAAAGGGGTCTTCCTAATACTTGCATATTTGTTTACTTTCGCGGGGCTAATATATCGGTTGTCTGAAGGTTAAATTTCAAACTACGTTGCTCAGTAACAAAATTGCAATCAAGAGGGTTCTTTTGTATTGGGGTGATGCAATTTATTGTACAAGAATTTTATCAAAAGAAATTAAAACTATACTGAATTTGTGTTTTAGCGTCATTATTACGCAGTTAAACGAGTAAACACGTCTTTTCTTTTATTTCATATATTTAAATCAAACCCCCTCGACAAAAGCAGCTTACAAGGTATTTTTTTAGATTTGAGGAACCTTTTTACAGGCTAACAAAATCATTATTCTGTTGTTTTTTTTGTTGTTTTTTCAATCTGTTTTACGTTGTTTTCAGTTTCCTTCTCCTTGGTGCTTTGGACCAGAACACATGTGATCGGACCATGGGAAGTGGTTGGATGTACAAGAAAATATCTACTTTTACTACTACTACTACTACTACTACTACTACTACTACCACTACTACTACTATACTACTACTAATACTAATACTACTACTACTACTACTACTACTTCTACTACTACTACTACTACTACTTCTACTACTACTACTACTACTACTACTACTACTACTACTACTACTACTACTACTACTACTACTACTACGACGACGACGACGACGACGACGACGACGACGAGTAATTACACATTATAATCAAATTATAATAAAAGTATTATACATCGATCATGTCCAATGACATTTGGAGCAGTGATATTGGTTAGTGAATTTGAACATGTGGGGCAGTGGGGATGACAGGGCGTCAATCAGCATGTGTTTGTATTCAACCCTCTGACCCAGCTGTCATTATAACCTGATATCACACTATCTTTGTTTGATGTTGTCAACTTGGAAAAAGTATTCCCGTATTTATTGTTTTTCCCCGTTGAAATATGAAAAACAAGAACTACCATAAACATTAGGGCATTTAGTATTAAAACATAGAATAATTAGTTATGGTATTAAAATACATTCGTTTTCGCGTACTCAATATATATGTATATATACTTAAGAAATCATTATTTTTCCAACATTTTCGAATCCCGAGTCATATATTCCACCATAATGCACGCACATAAGTTGATTATTTTTATTCTACCACGTCAAATGTAACTAAATGTAAAGTTTTGCTGTCTTATAAGGCGACATGACCTAGATAATTCCATATGCAAATTAGACGCAGTTCTTTTGCGCGTGCAAGATTTATCACGTGATCGTGTTGCCTCGTTTGAACTTGATCAATGTCGCGCCAACATTTCTCAGTGCGTAGGGTTGGGATTCCCGGATTGCGTATACTTCTAAAACCATCATCATCATGCCGATATCAAGCGGATTTTCTTGGAAGTGCCAGTGATACAACATCATACAATAGGCCTGATAGAGTTGGCATATTTAGTTGGTTGCCATGACGTGATGGAAAGTCGCTGACCGGCGGATCATGACGCTACTTTCACCTTCATCCACTTCACTGGACGGTTGGTTTTGCAACCACTGTTCAGACCGATGCTACTTTTTGCAACATTATTCTTCACACACGGTATGTACACTGTAGGCGAATGCTCGACATCACTTTGATTTTTCGAAAGCAGACGACGTTTTGCAGACCAGAAACAACTGAGCACGTGTGACGTCAGATACGATGTTTATTTCAATCATTCAAACATTGGCACGCTATCGGCATCGTTCGTCAAAACATGAAATCAACGCTTGACAGTACACACACACACTGCACACATCGTAAAATGTACGGCACTACCCATTGAAGTAAAAACAGAAGTAATTAATAATTTACCATTTTGACTTCAGACCTGTACATTTTAAATGTCAATAATTAATAAACCATTTTCACTGCACGGACCCACATTCTTTAGGTCTATAGATCCGTGTTATCTTTTGAATGGCAGGCCTGTCAAATATTTTGATCCCGCCTGACAGTTATGCTATTTTTGTTAATTCATGATAAAATACGGGGAGGTTGTTGGAACAGCATGCGTGCGCACTATTTCACGTGCATTGGTTATTGGCATTGGTTATTGGCACGCGCATGGTATATCGCTCAATAATGCACTCTTTTTAACCAATGAAAACAGTCGTTACATCACAGACGTGGTAGAATAGTATATATTTATGTGTCATATTTGTAACGGGGATATATTGCGTCATATATACTTCCATCTTCAAGCCAATAGTACCCAATATTGTTAAATAGCAAATAATATATTGAATTTCTATGTCAAATACTTTTGAATGATACTTATATTGTTATATTTGTCTTAATCAGATGGTGAGCTTTTCAAATCACCCTTCATCCGTTGTCCGTCCGTCATGCCAACTTGTGGCCATCTTATGAGAGTTAAGTATTGTAAATGCATATCAAACACCTCAATTTTGCTGTTACAAATGTATTCAACATATTGGCAAAAAATATCATCCGTTTACATAGTTCATCTAAAGGACAATTTCCAAATTTAAAAATATAGTTGTTTCATTTTTAGATAATATACTCCCCTGTTCCCTCTCTACTATGTATTCGATTGACCTGAAGATGCAAATTTTACAGACATCACCTCAGTAAGTACCAAAGTCTATCTTGTTCTTGTCAACTTTTTGAGTCTGAAGTTTAAGGTGTATGATATGTGCAAGTTTGTGCAGAGGTTTGCTTCATTAATATTCAGTACATTCAAATAATTCTGTGCATGGATATGAACTAAACAACTTGAAGGTACAACTCGTATGCTTTTATTAATCCAAAATCGTGTCTGCAGTTACTTTCAGACTCTTCCTCGGTAATGGGGGGAAGGTACATTATTACCTTCAGAACATGCATCTCTAATACAAATTTACTAAATCTCTATTGTTACTTATCTTGTGAAAAAACTTTTAAAAAAGTACATTTTGCACATTATCTATTCATAGAAACAAATAAATGACTGCGCTGTTTTCGACACATTTGGGAACGGGAGTTTTCATGGACTCTACGTACTCTTGTTCAAATACCCGTATAAAGTAGACATAGTGCATAATCGCTACACTGCTGACTGACTGTTTCATTATTCAAAAAAATATTGAATCACCCATGTAATTTGAAGTGGTTTAGCAGTCTATGGTTAATAACAATATTATCATGGTCTGTCGGGGTTGGGCAAACAACCACGTATATGTATAATTGTGGTTTTTAATGTATCTCTAACCAAATTTTATATTCTGTCTGAGATGTATTTTCTCTCTACTGGAAAGGGCTTTTGTCAAATAAAAGTAATGTATTGAAACCATTCACCTCTGAGTTAGTGAAACCAATGTCCGCGCGTTCTACTTCCAATCCATGTTACCGATACGCTTGACGGTTGATAAGCCGCCGTACTTCCTTTTCAAACTGACACGACGGCTTTTATATTCACACATGTTTACATAGCAGCCCTGAAACATGACGTAGAAGATAAGTGGAAAAAAATGTTAAACACCTAAGTATTAGAGCGCATCGAAGCAACGAACTACTTTCAGTTGGTATTAATAATCAATATTAAAGCAATCTGGAAATGACAAGTTCCAAGAAGCATGCTAGCGTTTCAAGTTGATTTAACTATGCTCAGTTGACATTTATATTGACTATGAATGCCAACAAACAACTGTTCAATACTTAAAATTGCCGTTTCTATTCAAGTACTTAGTAAATAGAACAGCTAACTTCAAGTAAGGACCAGTGGTAGCAAACGTTACAATCCTAAAAATGATAATGTCAACACGTCAGCCATAATATTCATAGCTGATATGAATCATGGCAGTTTTGTAGAGTGATAATTATACTGGATTTTGAAAAGATTTTCACAAACCTTTCAAAATGTTCAGTTATTTACAACATAGTAAGGTATCATTGATATCTACACCTGATTAGATTATGGTCGTCATAGGTCAATGTTTGGTGGTCAAAGGTCACAGACAAATTGTCTTCCCTATTAAATATATTGTATACATGGTATCTAATTACCTCCAGAACACATTTAGGTGATATTTACACAATGCTATTGTAATAATGATATCTATAGGGTGGTCATACATGGTTATTGGGTCAAAGGTCTATGGCAAAGATCACACATGACCACATATGAAGTAAAAATTAAAGCTTATGGACTCTGAAAAGTCACATCATTTAGGAGGGAGCGGGAGGGGTTGGTATCTAAGCGAGACTCTGCTCACTCTTTTTTTTTATCATTTTCTTGATTATCTGCTGTTGGTTTATTCGCAAGCCATACTTATTGTGTGTATGGATTTATCTCCATTTGATTGAATTTTTACATGCTACAGTCTGTATGTACATGTCAGAGCTTGTCTAAATGTATAAATGGAGGAATGAAAGGCAGAGAATATATGTATTTATTATAATAAAATCGTGTTTTTCCTCGTTTGGTCCTTCTATTGGATACAGAATATGTAATAGGGAAAGAGTGGTAAAGGCTTATCATGTTGTCTTATTGTTTGTTTACATATGTTTCTTTTTATCTCTGTATTATCTGTAATTCTTCTGTATTGATAATAAAAAATAAATAAAAAAATCATGCAGTCTTCACTTTCTATTTTGTCCACATTTTTTTTTCTGTCCATTCATCACGTCCTCTTTAAATCTGTATGTTACACATTGCTTTCAGTATAATAACTTCAATAAATATGAATCGATTTTAATGAAACTGATAACATGATTGCATAATGAGATTGCTGAGGCCAATATACAAGATAACGCATGTGTAAATATTTACATTTCCACTACAAGTTCCTCTATAAGCATGACCATGGGAAAAGGAAGTTGTGTCCTAGTGGGCTTTAAATTGCATAAAATTGAAAACTCCATATATTGCTGCAATGCCCTTTATAAGGTGGAAAAGAAAACGCCTAAAGAGTGGTTAACCATATAGTACATTTCTTACATTACCAATAGTTATATACAATTTGACTTTTCATATTAACTCGGGAGTAAAAAAGCATACATTTTTATTAGCTAACCATATTTGAATATACATTTTGAGGAATAACTAGCTACCTGAATATTCAGGGCATACAATTATTTCCTGCAGAGGAAGTCGTTCTCAATGGAAGATGGACATAGGATTTTGACAAAAGTTCCATCCACGCAACCTAGAACATTTGGAAACTCTGCAAAACAAAGCAGAACATTTTTTTTATTCATAGCAAATATTGGAAAATACGATGTTTATTCCAACAAAAATTGATATTTCCTCATTTTAAGCAGATTTTTTTCTAGGTCTTGACATGTGTCTGTGCTCCCTTTCTCTGAATATTGTAGCTCAGAAGATAGAAGAATCTCTTGGACTGATGTTTTATCTGATTGGCCAGGGCTGGTAGATGTCTGTCTTTTTTTATTCATAGCAAAGATTGGAAAACACGATGTTTATTCCAACAAAAATTGATATTTCCTCATTTTAAGCAGAATTTTTTATTATTGGTAATCAATGAAAAATGTCAATATTTGTATGAAATCTACTGAAGTTGACGCAAAAGGAACTATACTGAACTTAATTGCATGCTATTTAACCGATTTTTTTGGCGTTTCGGTACCTAAAAGAATAACATGTTTCTTTACGTTTCAGTACAGAGTAAAAGAATCATCAAATATAAATTCAGTAACACAGAGAACAAATAAAGCAAAAAACTAGGGTTGAAACATTTGTTCAAATGACAACTATATTCTTAGGTACCGAAATGACCGAGTACCTCGAATGAAGCGTCTAATTAACACTGACTGACCAAGATTTATATCTACTAACTTGCCAGCCGGTAAAATTTCGTTTTCGTGGAGTCCACTGCTTCACGACAAGACGGTATTTTATCTAAAGTTGGAGCGAAACGAGTCAAATACGTTACATACTCTTGTGATGCAACGTCCACATGACTGAACGGTCATACCGCAAACATCTACCAGCAAGGAGTGGAATGTTCCTGTAGCGAGGTAACGTAGCGTGATGATAACCTGTATCAAAGGTTGAATCGGGTTGTTTATCCGTGTTTCCACTACTAGGAAAGGTGACAATATATATAAAAGAAAAAGAATAGTTTCCCTGTGGAACCGAAACCTTGAAAAAATCACATCATCTCCCAAATCTGGAAGGGATCGTGCTCCCTGATTGTAGTAATGGCTTCACCTCTGCGTTGGCGCTGACGCCGCCTAGCCATCCATCGCCTAACTACAAAACCACCGGCCATTTTTATTGTGAACAGAGCGTTCCAGAGCTTGAGTTCGAACTTACTTTAGTCTGCTCTTGGGCAGTCTCGGGCTTTTTGGACTCAGCTTGAGGCGTTGAGCTTAGTTTTTAGTTTGTGATAACGAAATACGGTACTGAGATTGAGTTCTTGAGTTCGGACTCAAATCTCAGCTTGAGGCGGCCTCAAGTACGTTTGTGATACCGAAACCAGGAATCTTTGACTGTCGTACGCTAAACCCCAGGGGTCAAAACTTCGACAGTCAGTCCCGCTGTTGTGTTGTGATTCTCCATATCTATATAAGTGCTGTAGTTGTCTGTCCAACACTATGACTGCTGATTTGTCCTTACCACCATCTATTTCCTCATCTCTATCAACTACAGCGACATTGTCGCTGAGAGGACACTGTAATATCCTCCATGGTGAAGACACCACCGCTTTCCTGTACAAGGATATGGTGGTGGTGATACCGGGCTTCCCGTCCAGAGTGTACTCGGAAATTCTGTGTTTTGTTCCAACAAGGATATGTTCATCACTAGTAACACAGAGACAACGAGGTTCATCATTTGTTTTGAATATCTTTTTCTTGTGACAAGGATGACGTTTTAAATGGTAAATTTATTGCTTTGATACATTATCAATCCTAGGTTGAATATGTTTTAACTAAAATCCTCAGATTAACAGAGATGATATTTCAAACGGAAACTTTTACAAAGTAATCCTAAAGATTGCTATTCTGTTTACATTATAAAAATGTATTCTAGATTGAAACATTTACAATTAGCATATTTATACATTTATTGAAATATTCGTTAGTAGCAGTTTACAATAAGATATATAAAAAAATACAGACTTTATTTCATATTATCAGATAACAACATTAACAAATACCACACATAGATACATTCGCTGTTATAAAACAGCATATTGTGTTCATATCTAATATTCTCGCAAGGGATAACGCTATATGTTACTGCCGATAGGATGAAACGGAATAATGACGAAACAACTCGTCCGACATAGCCTTCTTCCCATCCAAATCATGGGGCAGTTATACAGTAGTTGTATTATTTTGTTGTGTCACGTGTCTTGAATTAAAAATTGGTGTACAGTAGGCGTTTCACTTTCTCAACTATGAATCTGCCAAACTCTGCCTACAGAACTCCTTCCCTGTCCACACAAACAACCCAAAGTCTGTCTGTGTCAGTAAGCAGCATTCGCAGGTACTGTCCATCACCGCTCAGTAGGTGTAGGCTGTTCACAGTGTCAGCAATCACCAGCTGTCTCAAGCTATCGTAAGCTACATCCGCGGTACAAAACTTTCCTGATTCACACATGATGATGTGATGGGGTCGTCCATACTTGAATAATGTTTGAAGATATTTGTCCAGCACTTTAACAACTGATTCGTCCTTACCGCTATGATCTGCCAAATCCATGTCAACTACCGCAATATTCTCGCTGACTGGACATTGTGACATCCTCCATGGTGAGTTTAGTAATGGATTCCACATCAAGTACAGGTATGTTCTGCTGACGAGGCCTTTCTTCCCTTCTTTAGTGTACTCAGTGATTCTGTGTTTTGCCCCGACAAGGAAACTTTCATCAGAAGTAACACACACGCATCGGGGTTCATCTTTGGTTTTGAACCTACTGGTCAGTGTACCTAATGTTTACTCCAATAAATCATACTTGCGTTTACTATTTATGTCCCTGGGACTTGTATATTACCCAATAAAACATTTCTGAGAAATAACGATAACGTTTTCTTTGCTTTGTATGTTTATGACTGGAACCATTACGATAGATTGAGATTTACTAAAAATAAGATTACAAATCAGCGTGCCGCCTGTCGGCCATCTTGGTTTTCCTATCAGCCCCCAAATTCGATGCGACATTTAAAGAGCAAGGGAATCTTGTACATGAAATTGTAAAAAGACCCCCTGACTTTCTGGGAAATAACGCTAACAAGACTGGTTTGAGGACAGAAGTAGGACGGACCACAAACAACGGAAGCAGGACGATTTTAATGACCCTCAATCTGAATCGGGCTCAAAAATCACATAGTATTAGACCGTAAAGGACATCGTAATCCTAGTTTAAGCTTAATTACCCTATCACGTTGAGTGCAGAAAAGATAAAGATGGACTATACTCGCTGATTTGTAAAAATAAATTCTTCAAAAATTACAATATATCTCATTGGCTTCAGTCATAAATATTATAAATAACAATAAACTTCAAAAATCATATCCTTCATGAAATCGATTGAAATAAAACAAATTTAATTATCTTCCAAATCTTTACCTCAATATGAAAATATGTTAACATTGAAACAGGATCTTAAAAATTAGGGCATAATCCGATTTATTTCAACATTTTGATTCATGCAATCAATGCGTCTTTTTTTAGGCCAAAATATGCAAAATCTATCAATTTTGGAAATGTACAGAAATAATAGATCCTCAAATTAGTTTTGAATGAATGGAGCACCTGAATCCTGCTGCCTTATTCATTTTATTCAAAATGCAATTACTACCAGCTTCACCTGTACAGGAAAAATATATAGATTGGATTTCTGATACTACTAGAGTATTCATACGAAGAAAATGTGAAACATCATTGTGTATAAATTGTATAATGTGAAAAAAATCGTTTGTTCGAGGGTTTTTTCAGATGTTTTAAAACCATTTACGCATTTTATCTATGTGATATGTATATTTTATTTCATAAAAATGACTATACACGATTTTCAATACAGATACCTATTGCATTACAAATGTTCTTTTTCTTTGTTTCTGTTGTAAGGAACGAACCATATGTCTTAAATATATAAGGAAATGTTGTTGTCTTTTTTAAAAAAATCTGGGACTCCGTACACGTAGTCTTAGAAGTAATTGACATTAGACATGAAAACGTATGTGATATCTAAGAACAAAAATGCATGTTTTTGGAAATTCGAATATTTGCTTTTCAGTTCCAATCCTTTTTTTCCCGTGTTACATCTCTGTAACCAATACTTAAAATAAGTTTATTTAAACTTTTAGACCTTCTCTCCATCGATTTGCAATATTCTTGATAAGTTCCATTGTATCAGAATCAATGTTTTCAGTTGTGACTTGATAGAACACCTCCTCAGACAGTATTTCTAATATTTTATCACGATAGTGCTTATATATATATTATATATGTGTACAAATATATATGAATTTATATTTATATTATATATCTATATGTACAAATGTCATACCTGTCTGCCTCAAAAATCGTTCAAAGATGGCGACCTCTTGCTAAGCACATATCCTCGGCTAGAGAAGAAGGTTACACACAGTTGTTTTTTGCTGCAGTTTGTGCAGTCTACTTAAAAGTCGATTTTAACAAAAAACAAACTTAAATACAATGTTTTAATAATTTTAGCGCTTTTTTATCGGAGTAATGTCAAGTGGTATTTTCCTCGTGTCCAGAACCAAAGCTGAACTAACGGGAGCAATAAGGTGCTGAATTGCTGGCTATCACGTGTACCTAACTCTAATAAGTTAGTTTTTGAATAGTAACATAGTAAAAGATGCTTAGTTAACCTACATGGAGTATTGAGTTTTTCTTTCCAAATTTTTCATTTTCCCAGCAAACGTTGTTAAATATATGTCGCTACAAATTTGAAATTAACTAAAGTTAGATACAACGCGAAAATGATGAGCAATCAGTTCTCGTTTTGTAGGTGTCAACCTCTGAAACTTCCAAAGAGGGAGATCTCCCTCATTCTACATTTCAAATGAGGGAGAACGTGCGTGAATGGCGACTGACACTGTTGTGCTCAATTTATATTTCCCTTTTAAAGTATCAAAATAAATCCAAAAAGCACAAATATGATTCGGACACTCCTGTTAGGATCATTGCACAAACCCTGCAGTATCTATGAGATCATTTGATAACAGGATGCAGATTTAGAGTTTGTGTGAGTTTGGACTTGATTAAGGGAGTTTGGCGTTAGATTGGTGAATATTGGTCAAATTGAGGGAGTCTCCTTCCTTATGAGGGAGGGTTGACAGCTATGTGTCGTTGGGGAACCTCTTATTCACTAATCACAGTTGAGATCATAACTACAATTGTAGACGTGTCAGAAATGTCAATGTTTTTCTACTGAGTGATCAGCACTCCGTTGAAGAGTGTCTAAGATTTAGACAGAAGTACATGTTCTTGCCATTAAACGTAATCTTTTAACGATTAAAATGTTGCCAGGTTAATATTGTTGATTGGCATTTCTTTCAGATGAGGGAAACCACTTAAACGCTAAGGTCAAACATGTAACTTGTGATTTATCAATTCTTTATTGGAGAAAATCTAGTAAAATAGCGTAACACTTATTTACATATTGCTGATTATTCTTGGAAGTCAAATATGCTTTTATATTCAAGCATTTGTATCAATGATTACTGCTCAGACGCAACAAAATTTTCGAGCCAGTTGGCCACTTGTTCATAATACTTGGTATGCCACTCCATATTGACCGAAATTCTGTTAAGTGCAAAGTCAAAGCCGTGAAGATAAGCGGCGTCATCCGGTTGGATCTCGTCTCGCCAGTTTTCAATCTAGAAATAGAAAAAGGGAGATAAGATTTGTGATAAAAAAAACTATCCAAAGTGTCATATGTAAAATCATATTTGCACAACAACCATAAATGTTCAATCTTACAAACAATAATGAATTACAAAGATTAAAGTTAATCGTCCGCTTATTGTTTTTTTTCTTTCATAGTTTCCAATGAAAATAATGTTTCGATAAATCAGATTTGAGTATTTGGTATGAAAACAAGGAAAAATAATATATATAATTTCAATAGTATTTATTCTTCTTGTATGCCTATTAAGAAACACGTTTTATGGTTAATTAAAACAGCTAAAAGGGTAAATATACATACCTTGCTCATATCATATTTTGTATACATTCCACTGACTGTGCTGACGATAATGTTATTCAGTGAGTTCACGTCCAGACCATAGCTGTTAACATAACAATATAATAAATTTAAATACTGTTCATCATATCGCATCAAATTATATTTGATAGAAATGGCTACAATAACGAATATTATTAGTACCGATCGACCCCAGGCACAGTTTAACCTTACAGACAAATGCCCTGCACGTGATCCACACTTACCGATAAACTTAACCTGATTAGATACACTATATTAAGAACACGGCCTCGATAATTTGAGAAAATAGCAACACCAAGTGTACCACAAACACACGTAAAACCTCCGCCACCATATATACTTACTCAACCACCAGGAATTCCCATTTTTCCAACATGAACTCAAAAGCCGGGTAAAAGGCTACAGGATTGCTTTGGAGTGTTGTGAAGGCAATGGGGGCATCTTGTTTTCTGATTTTAGATGGATCTAGTATGTATTCCAAATATCTAAAATAGCAAAAATGTACTTACTTTAAAACTGATACAAAACAATTTATTTTAATGAATTATTATTTAAAAAATATGTTATTTTGATTAATTTCAATTATACATATTTATATGATATATATATTAATTCACCGACGACCTCAGACACAGTTAACACGTATAATGGAAATAAATTAATGTTGTGATTCTACTTGGATGGAAGTCGTAAAGTAACAGGCGATATATGTGCAAACAGACAACTCCAGAGCATGCTCTGGGTTAGTGAATCAATTAAGGCCCTGATGAGAGATTGGCATTATACTGTGACAAGAAATGTTTACGTCTATAGAAACTTATGATGCCACGTCTGTTTAAGACGTTTGAAGCGAGGTAACTATTACTGTTATAACTTAGGTAAATGTCAAGATATGAATCTGCACAAGATATATCTATTAACTACCTCTTACAATTTTACAATAATAGTTTAAAAATCACATAACTATCCTGAGCACGAGTCGGTTGGGGCACACTTAAGTTGGACAATTATTTGTTATTCGTTATTCAGAATAACGAATAACTTTCTAAGATGACTTTCCATGGGAAAGAAAGAAACGCATAACGAAAACTGCCTTTACCTTGCGGTCATTTTATCGGTCTTCATATCATATCTACGATACGCTAGTTCACGCTTAACTTTACGCGTCCTTGCACTAATGATAACTGTTATGCATTGATTTTCTTAAAAGCAATTAATTATAATTTCTGTTTTGATAGTTATCCTTACATTTGTCATTTAATTAATGACTTATGAAGAAAAAACTAAATTAAAGAAACCACTGTAATGTGTTAAGTTCAATTTTAGACTCCGTAGCTTTAAAGAGACACCAACCCGTACCTAAGATTTCCACATTTTCGCTGACGTCATATTCCAATCTGAGTTTATTCTAATACCGCCGTGGTTGATCGAAACAAAAGTGTCAGTGTCATTTATTATATTCTCGTATCGTTAATCAACAAATAATTGTTTTTGGTAGTGACAGACTTTATCATCGGATATGTAAATTTACACTTAGTACAAAGGTGTAATTTGTAGGAAATAAGATACTGTCAGTTAGTTGACCGTTTAACTCCAAATAAAGTAATTATATCACCCTTGTTTCATCACACCTGTTATGGACTCTGTCTAAATATTCGTCTTTATTTAGACTCTTAGCTACCTTAAGCAATGACGTGTTAAATGGGCACCAGAGCCAAGTACAGTTCTTGCACTCGTTCCATGACAGATAAATTTATCAGAATTGGTGAATGATTGTCCCCGTCAAACCAGCCAGCCAGGCAACACAACAACATAATACCTCCCGTAAAATAGGAGCATAGAAAAAACAAATATCTCAAGTACTATAATGGGCTTATTGTCTCAGCTTTCAGTTTAAGTTATTTCAATGTCAACTTAAGCAAAGTGAGAATCATGTATCTCAAAGATGTCTTTCCATTTCATCTAAGTATGAATTGCAAAGAAGGCCGGTTGTATACTATTTAGCCCGTTAGGGATTATCTGTGAATATGAACATAAGGTATCACAATTACTACTGACATAACAAAGGGAACTATGTACGGTACTCAATCCTACTATAAATATATAATTAGAGTAGTTTTTCGTTTTTTTTATATAAGCTACGAGCAGCGGACTACGATAGGTCAATGTGGGGGAATACATGCCAAACTTTCAATAGTGATATCGATTTATAGACAATGACCTGCTGATGATCCACAAACGGTCTGAACAAGCCAGTGCAGTGAGTGCGGCTGGTTGTTCCGTGACTGGTCCATTGCGGTAAAGGTTAAACATGTAATCCCATTCCTCTTCCCCTCCTTCTTTTACTGCTTTACAGAATACTGTCTCCTTGATGTCAGCAGGAATCCTACAACAAAACACAAATATTATATATAAACGGACTAGGTAACTAAATCAATTTATTACATTTTTTGCCTGTGAAATATTAGATTCTATCAACTTGATAAAATTGATATCTTTCACACTGTGACAAATATCAAAAGTGATATTTTAGATTTGACCAATCATAACGGTATCTTCCAATCGCTGCATTCAAAGGCAACGATATTTTGTCACAGATTCACATGAAGCGACGGTAGAATAAGTGGTTATTATGGTAAATGCTTGGTACACAGACTTAAGTATTTACATATATATACCAGTAATGACATTTTTATAAGCAATCATACCAGAAAATAGCAGAAAACGTCGAATTGCATTGAGTATCCCATTTAAAATGGCGTAAACACATTGTTGTCAAGCGTGACGTCATTATAATATGGCGCTAATTATTACGTTTCTGATTCCCGCCCTTTTTTAATGTATTACATTTTTCATGTTTTATGCTTTACAATGTAATAAATAGAAAATTTAATGGTGTCTTCAGTAATAACAAATATATTTCACTCGTGTGGCTTATATTTTGATATGTTGCACTCGTGCTGTGACTTGTGAAAAATATCAAAATATTAACCACACTCGTGAAATATATTTGTTATTACTGAAGACACCATTAAATATCCTCTATGTATTTTGTTTGAATCAACTTTTGTTTTTTGTTTTGTGTTTCAATTTGGCCCTGTGTTTTTTGTATATGTTACAAACATTTCGCTGACGTCAATCGCAGAATGATCAACGCTGCTATTCCTATTCCGCATGAATGTGGCATGTAACCATTATATTTATTCCTATTTGAATACTGGACGACCTTTACGATATCGTCTCCCACTTCTGACTATACAAGACACATTGTGTCATGTGGAACACACTTGTCTCAAATCTCAAATAGGTGTTCAAGGTTCAGGAACTCCTTTTACAAAAATATTCACAAAGAGGTTCATGATAGCATATGCTTCATTTCAAAATTCTCAGCACCATTTCAATGAAACCTGAAAGGTGACTTCATTTCAATGCGATATGGACATCACCATATTTGTATTTGGGTCAGCGGGAAAATATTTTCCACCGAAAAACAAAGACGGCATCTGGTATGGCTAGAAGGAAATAAACTTTTCTAAGGAGCTTTTGCAAATTACTTCAATTATTTCAAAATAAACTTACGGTTTACCATAAAGTTATTTTGTTGTATATGATTGATCGTGTTGCAACAAGTATATTAACATTTGTTGTACGGGTAATACATTACGCAGGTGCCTTTTTAGAGTTTTAAGATTTTAAGAATAATCTGGTATGCATCGTTCCCAGGCCTACGTATCGAAAAGTGATAGTAATGAAAGACAATTAAGTAAGTACCCAAGTCAGTATAGAATTGTTCGGTAGGTACTTACAGTGTCCCCGAGGTTTTCCAGTCGTTAAAAAGTTCTTTTGAACGCATGGCACATTCTTGAATACCATATTTGCACGACAGACTAAACATCAGTCTCGAAAGGGACCTGGAAATAAGACAAAAACATTTCAGGGCGATCAAAAGCAATATTGCAGTGACATGTGTAATTCGAAACAGCCCTGCATTGAATATACCTTAGCATGTGTTATTGTATACAATGTATATGTACATGTACCATGTTAATATACGTATATAATGATGCTGTGTTTTTGAAAAGTTTTACACGTGTAATAATAGGTACATGTATCATGGTAGACTAGATTGGCGCATTCTAAACATATGTGTAAAGATATGTATATGTATGTTAAATACACTTGTATTTGAAATGAAGTACACATATGTATTACAATTAACACGTATACGTAAACAATACTCATGTGTGGAATGATTGTTCTTGTAGCATCAACAGGACACCGAGATTAATTCGGGAAACGCCAACCTGCCTCACCACAAATCGGACAAGCTAGTTAGACCACCCTGGTCGGCATACAGAACAACAGTGTTAATTATAGTGTCCTGGTAAGTGGGGTTGCGACTTCTGGCATCGGGGTCAACTTGTTTAAGGCCCCTGAACAGATTTCTTACATAGCGAAAAGATATACATATTTCGAGGCAGCCCTTGGTAGAAGATTGTCATTGTCAAAGTAACAACAACTAAAGAGAATCAAAGTTGCAACAGAATTAACTCTGTTAAAACAGAGGGTGTGGCCCCCTGGGTGAGGGGGTGGCAGAGGGATGGGCGTTATAGTGGAAACATGAGGATAAAACAATGAAAGAATGTTTGCGAAAAAGTAAATGGAAAATAATATTAGTTGGTCCCGAAAGGAAAGCCGATTCAGCATTTTATCGACCTACAAATCTAGGTCAAATCCGATCAATGTCACGTCTTTATATGGAGAACCGGGCCAATGACAACAAAATAACACAACAAGGCACACTTTTAAGCAACAAAACAAACAGCAACCTTCATTTTTTACCAATGACTAATAGTAACAACCGTGAAACCTTGCCATTGTCTTCTTCAAGCTGCATCAGCAAATTTAACTGTATGCACACAAACTTCTCTAGTAGTATTTCAGCATCGGTAGTGGAATTCTCAAGTTTTAATTCAATTTAACGCAATACCTTTGCTGGGTAGGACGGTCATCATTCAGGGTGACATTCAATGAACGGCCTTCAAGCAAACTCAACATGAATCTCTGCGGTGGAAATTAAAAGAAAACAAAAGTTGATTTACAAAAAAATACCACATAAATAACTGGAATGGCATCTGCTAGGTAATTATCTTAATAGTAATGATTCCGTTAATGAAGGATATTGAAAAAAGCAAAACATGAAATTAAAACAACCCGTTAGTATCAAAGAAGAAATTGAAGAAAGATATTCTTATAAACTGCTTACTATTGTTTTAGATATGACAACCGTGTCGGTAGAGAAATAAGGTCAAGATGGAAAAATAACTATTGACATGTAAAATAAAGTAGTGTATAAACATGAATGATGTTCTAAACAGACCTCAAAATTTCCATATGCTGGACGACTTCTCAACATCTTATCCGGAAAATCGAGTTCACTAGACGCGTACGACCAGGGTATAAACTCAGTCTCGTGACGTAGATAGGACAGCATATCCCAGGCAGTTTCAACATCTGCCATCCCAGCCCTTCAATGACAAGAGAACAAGTGTTATTCAATTCAATATGCTTATTAATTTAACCGTTTATATGTACAAAATAATAACGAAAACAAAACTTAATTAACATGTCATGCGACGCTGTTTATTAGGAAATCATTTTTAGAGTCTATATTTTTCAAAAGTAATGCTAGTTTGGAGAATAATTTACGCGACCCTGATAGTAATTAGCGTTCTATATATAGAACCACGTGCCTGAAGCATCAACCTATCATAGAATAGAAAAGTGGATGGTATCTACTTATGAAAAATGATCCAACATCTTTGAATTGATACCATGGTATACAATACACTCCTACTTGGCCGAAAATGTTCCGTTTTAAGTACATTAAACAACAAAATTCGCTAGCTCTCCATATCCTTTACAATTTATAAAATACAAAATGCAACTTCTAATGAGATATCACATATTTATTTATTTTTTTTAATTCAGGAGCCATTGCATCATACTGCATAATAAGGCCCCTTTTAGCAATTATGACTTAGTCAGACCTTCATCTTGGTACCATTGAAAACATATACTCCTAATAAGTTGAGATTTCCCCATACTACATGTATACTACTATATCAGACTACAACCTTTTCTCTTGTAAAAACAACTCTACAAGATCTTTTTTATGGACGACGTACAAACCTTTTTTGGTGACGTATATAGTGGTGAGTATATGGATTTGTCTGCACACCAAAGCGGTGCTGTTTTACAAAAAAAAAACATCGCTATAGGTTCGATAGTAACGTTTGGACACATGAATACGTGTTTACTGGACGTTTGCAATATACATATGCACTGTAAAGGATATCCATGGATAATCCCATACAGTTTTATTTGACTTGATTGGCGCATTCTAAACATATGTGTAAAGATATGTATATGTATGTTAAATACACTTGTATTTGAAATGAAGTACACATATGTATTACAATTAACACGTATACGTAAACAATACTCATGTGTGGAATGATTGTTCTTGTAGCATCAACAGGACACCGAGATTAATTCGGGAAACGCCAACCTGCCTCACCACAAATCGGACAAGCTAGTTAGACCACCCTGGTCGGCATACAGAACAACAGTGTTAATTATAGTGTCCTAGTAAGTGGGGTTGCGACTTCTGGCATCGGGGTCAACTTGTTTAAGGCCCCTGAACAGATTTCTTACATAGCGAAAAGATATACATATTTCGAGGCAGCCCTTGGTAGAAGATTGTCATTGTCAAAGTAACAACAACTAAAGAGAATCAAAGTTGCAACAGAATTAACTCTGTTAACACGGAGGGTATGGCCCCCTGGGTGAGGGGGGTGGCAGAGGGATGGGCGTTATAGTGGAAACATGAGGATAAAACAAATAAGTTGAGATTTCCCCATACTACATGTATACTACTATATCAGACTACAACCTTTTCTCTTGTAAAAACAACTCTACAAGATCTTTTTATGGACGACGTACAAACCTTTTTTGGTGACGTATATATTGGTGAGTATATGGTTTTGTCTGCACACCAAAGCGGTGCTGTTTTACAAAAAAAACATCGCTATAGGTTCGATACTAACGTTTGGACACATGAATATGTGTTTACTGGACGTTTGCAATATACATATGCATTGTAAAGGATATCCATGGATAATCCCATACAGTTTTATTTGACTTGATTGGCCTTCGGTATCATACAGTATAATCGAATCACCACAAGGTGTAGGTCTTATGAAATCGGGAGTTGGGTAACTAATGCAAATTGATATAATGCACTTTCTGCATTGTTTGCTATTTATATCAATTTTCAATTGTCTATCATTTTATTATATGCCTTAAAAAAAATCAATTCGAAGGGGAAAAACACATTTACTGCATAGGACTTCCTTTTTGTTTTACAGAATATCATTGGCGACGATTTGCGCAATGAAAATGTAATTGTCAATCTAAATGAAGGAAACGGAAGGGAGGGATCAATGATAAACTGTGTAAAGGCTTTAAAAGTAAAATGAAAACGATCATCATAAAAATAAGTAGTAAAACAAAAAATCAAATCACTTACTTGAAAATAGCCCATACGTCGCTTATGAGAGTTCCCCTGTTTACCACGTGAATTTTCTGAAACAATCAAAATATATTTTTAATTTTACAATTGTACAGTATTTAAAATAGGAATAACTGTGCATTTTAATTCACTCCTTTGGAGAACAAAAAATGTCATGAAAATACAAAAGAGTTAGAAAAACGAGAAAAAAGTCGAGCTCAAAACCGATAAAACTAGTGCAAAATATGAAAGATTTACAAGGATATTTACAAGGAGAATCAGACCAGGAGTTCCAGAAGGATACGCATCTTCTTCTTCATCGACGACACATAATATGTAAATCTAGTGCAAGTAAAAGTTATGTAACATCGTAGAACTTGTTTGGTGACAACAGAAGCACAAGACACTAATAAGCGTAATGAAAAGCATCGACTTTTATATCATACAGTGTGTCAAATGAGAAAATAAAACTTGACGAACAAACGGTGCGATTACTCATCATGATTGTTTTGATTTTACCGTATGATCAGTCTTCAGTTGAGTTATCAAGGCGTCCCAGTTCTCCTGCTCGTAGTTCACACGGAAGTACCCATAGTGTTGTATGTTCCCCACAACCCATCCGCTTGACTTGTTGATGCTGGCATCGGTAGCGTACACTAGAAACAAGGGTAATGCATTAATATAGCTACCTTACTCTTATTTGAATTTGAGGTACATCAAATTCCTGTAATGCTGGCCGTTTTTGTTTTTCCCCCCCGTTCATTTTGAAAGCTGTTTAATAGGTTTAATAGGACGATGTATGCTCAGCATGTACTTATATATGAAAAGTGACATGGATAATAAACCACTTTACCACATTCACCCCTGAACTTTTATAATAAACTATTCCAACCTTTGAATTTGAGGAGTTTAAATGTGTCTCCAGCGGTGAATGAATTGAAGTCTCACTGAAATGTCACTGTAGAATGATTCTCCGAGCGGTTCTCTTTCAATGAAAAAGTATTATTTTTTTCATTCCTGTCTCACTTATATTTCATGTTTTTGTCTTAGGTGATGCCTTTTCGAATGTTGTCTTAGGGCTAAAAACATTTGTGTCTGCTGATTTTTTTTCTTTATCAATGTGTTCTAGTTTAATCAGCTTTTGCAAATTTATGGCTAACACAACATCACATAAATAGCGTTATTACGTTAATATTTACAAATGTGGACGTTTAACATTTATTCAATGAATTTAAGTCTTAGTTGCAACTGCTGTCGGAAGTTGAAAATGTGCCCACTAGCATATCACTCAAACTCAAATTAAACCAAACCAAACCTTGTACTTTTGGTGCCATCCAAACTATGTCACTTGCCGACTGGTCGAATTTAAGTTCTTTATCAGTAGTGTAGGTGAATGGGATATTCCAGCCATATCTGTAAAATATATAAAATACTTAAACTGAATATATTGCAAAAGCGGAAAAAATAATAGTTCAAACCTTGAATATTTAGGACTCATTGATATGAGTTCAAATAATGCAATTTCAAACAGGTTGTAACAGAACAGCTTACGTCAATTCCAAAATAAGAAAATAAAATATTTCAGCATATATGATGGTGCAACAACGAATTGCGAATGAGCTAGTTTGAATCAGATCAATACAACATATCTATGACATATCCCATAACAATAAAAAAACACCAAAATTAGATTGATAGACACTGCATTAACTTCTTTATTGATTAAATTGCAAACTCATGTTTCATAAGATACAAACAGGATATATGTATTTACAAGAATCAAGAAAAACGCGATGTCAAAACAAAATATATCTCCCTCAAAAACACTAGCTGAAAGTGAATGTGACATTCCCTTCATGTGATGACATAATCTCTACGCTTAGTTGTTGTTACTTACAATTTAATAAGCCTCTGATCATGTAGCACTTGATCATGTGTCGTCAAACCGTAAAATATGGCGGTTTTGGACAGGATCGACTACTTTATCATCAGATAAGCTCACCAGTGAAAGGAACGTCAACTCTGGGTAGAGAGTGGTGATACCGGACAAACAATATTGACGTTGTCTTTAAGTTGATACAATCAGTGACAACGATATGTATTCTGTCACATTCATCAGACTCTACTTCTAATAACCTTTTATTTCTTAACGCCCTGCTTGACAATAACACACTTTCGGCTTTAATGTTGGCCCAGGTGAGGAAGGCAATGGGATTTTTCCCAAGGCGAGACATACCAAAGTTCTTAAAAAATGGAAATAGCTATTCTCTACTTAACGTTAAGCATTTAGAAAAAAAGGCAACAACTGGTTCACCGGTTGTCAGTATAATATGGTCGGAATACTGTGCTTGGGCCTTTCGGCGTAGTATTTCTGTGCGATAGCACTATAACGTCGGCATCAGATCCGCACTAACACACAGAGGCAATTACACCAACATACCCTGTCTCAAGCAAGTACAAACATGCACGCTTACACAACACACATGGAAAAATGTCCTTAAATGATCTTAGATGTCAATAGGACGTTAAAATTAAAATCAAACCATCAGACAAAAGCTGACTGATGAAGGTAAAAAGGTACATATCAACGCGTCACTCAGGAACGTTTTACTGGTTTTGATATATCAACCTATATAAAAAGGTACGAAGGTGTGCCAGTGATTGAAAAATATTACCCTGCGAAATCAGTAGTATTGTCTGACTTGAGAAGAAATCGACTCTGATTCAGATAGAGGCCACCATTCACTCTCCTCACTGTCACCACTGGGTAGTTCTTCTGTAATATCCACGAGTCCATCACAGTTTTTACGTTGACATCAGTATTCCCATCCATGACTGCTTGCTACAAATAATGCAATAGAGACAACGCTGCAGAAAGATGACAGTAGATGGGGTAAAACAATATATAAATGCTTATGAATTTTCTTCACAAAAACATAACACTCATTATATAATTCAAATATAATGTTTTGATTATGAACTGATAAATGTTTCATTTAATCGGTAGCATTGATATTGTTTTTTTTTAATACTGGTAAGATCTGGAGAACGTAACGTCTGAACGGAGGTTTTGGAATCCCTGAACCGCAATGTCCTGATATACACAACTTCAATTATCAGCGTCTGAGATGTATTGCGTCGAATGTCTAATTTCATTCAAAAAGTGTGCTGTTGCTATACATGTATTGGCGATGGTCCATAAAACTATTGTTTATTACTATGTATTGAAATAGTATTTGGCTACATGTGAAATAAAGACTATCGGTGAAAGGGGCTAACACAGGCAAATCAAATGCATACTAGTAATTTCTTTAAAAAAAACAAGAGCTTAGTGTTAGACGGGAGGTAACTCAAGTTAGTTTAATTCGCGTGTGTATTATACGCCCTCACAAATAAAGAAAGAAATGCCATGTTATGTAAGAAACCGATGTTATAATTGTGTCCGAGATTAAATATTCCTTATGCGATATGCAATGTATAAGGCAACGACGTAATCATTGGTGTAGGATGAAGGGTATACACAATTGAAGATTTCGGTACTGTCGCCATTTGTAAACGTATAATATAACTAGAAATCTTGCAATCCTATCTAAAATTTCATGATGTATTTTCTAGAAATTGTACTGTTTTCCAATCCGCAAACCGTCCAGCATTCAATTTTGATTATATTAGTAAAATAAACCGATACATTCATAAAACATCTCTAACTGAAAAATATTCCGAAGCATTAACACACGCTGACGGAATCAAATATCAAAATCGATACTGAGGGCCGAAAGACTAAGAAAACATTGAGGCATCTATATTGAAGATCTCTCATCAAGATACTGTAAACAGACACGAAGAGTCCAAAAAGGCAAAGAATCGACTGCTTAATATGTAGCATTTGCTTTGATATATTCCTTCAAACTCAGTATTGTATGTTTTTTCCATAATACAAAGAAATCAGGACTTTATTAACTCTCTGCAGATAAATATATTTCATAATATGGCATCAGCTTATGGCGACAAACATTATTTTCTTTTGTGTCCATTAAGTAAAAAGACCTTTACTAAGTTCTTAATCCGTCATCAGGATGCTTCTATACAGGAAAATGACGATGTTTAGAGCAGTCTTAAGATAGAAATGAATCAATTGTGATGCATATAGAATTAATAAGCAACGAGACTGGAATGTTACTATAAAGTAACAGGAAGTTAACGGTGGGAAAAAATGGCGACACGTTTGTTGTAAAGAAGCGGCATGACGAGTGTAAGTGCATTTTAAAATTAGTTTTGGAAAATTGAAATTATCTACAATATATTTATAGGTAAGGAAAAAGCTCTGCTACATAAAACATCTAAGTATGGACATATTCAAATGGTATCGTATCTTTTCCTTGTAATATCCCTTAACAAACTTCTTATCAGCCTTTTACGAATACAGGAACAGATAAGCTACAAGTCTATCCATATTTCTTCTCACACATGTATACAGACTGGAACAAGGTTTTGCTCTGAACGACGTTGACCTGCGATATTCTGTTTGGAAGATTCACAAATTATATATATTGTAAACAGTCACGTACCGCTTGTAAGGCCGCCCACAAGTCATCATGAGCGACGTTTCCATAGGCTTTCTCATTCAAATAGCCCTGTAACAATGGTAAAATAATGCATTACATTCGTGAATTATGCGAGTTAAACAACGCATCTGTTCTGTTCGGTATAAATTGGAATTATATTGCCAAATTTGATAACTTTATATAAAAAAAACATAATCTGTAATAACCTTTCAAAATTGTCAACTACTGTTTTAAATGGAAATAGAAAAAAGACAGGGTATTGAAACATTACGTGATTTTATCACTGGATGATATAAACTAAATGTAGATAGCAGTCATATCGACTACGTGCCAGTAGAACATATACCTCTAGTCCTTTCCTGAAGGTTTCTGGTCCAAGGAAGTTCCACATCATCCTTATAACAGCACATCCCTATGTACAACAAACCATAAAATATCATAACAACATTTGCCAAAACATTCATTGCTTAAATAAAGTTAATAATTTTGAAAATTACTAATGAAACAAATTTTGCTAGCATTGTGGATTGAATCACTCAAGATACGTATAACAGTATGATCAAACCTTGTAGTAAGTGATGATTTCAAACAATGACAGTATCTGGTCGGGTGTGTACGCCTCTCTGTAGACAGGGGTTACATTTTCAACGCTGTCTACGTCCATTACTGGTTGAATCACATAAAGGTTAATCAGGTCCATCTACAACTCATGAATATTCATACTTGTTCAGCTGTATTATAAATAATAGCAACAGTCGCTAAAATACCTCTTTGTATTGCGATTTCGCTAATATTTGTTTGGTTGCATATATTGCTATTCATCAACTTCAATCAAATGTTGTACTTCACTCAAGCATATGAAGTGATATGGTTTACAAATAGCTAAAAATAAGCTAAGATAAGAATAGCAAGATATCTGTTTAAGGCATTTAGGCAAACAGTTATCACATAACGACATTTTAATATATAAATAGAGCAGTGATATATTCTTGATAATCATTACGAATAAACTTATTTGAAACAAAAAGATAGAAAGTGAATACATACCGCCTATTACTCCCAGATGGGAGCTCTTCACTAGTCTTAGATATGACTAGTATATAACATTTTTGTATCCTGGGTTACAGCGCTACACTAGTCTAAGATACGAACAGTATATATACCATCTTCGTATCCTGGGTTACAGAGCTACACTAGTCTAAGATACGAGCTGTATACATACCATCTTCGTATCCTGGGTTACAGCGCTACACTAGTCTAATATACGAGCTGTATAATACTATCTTCGTATCCTGGGTTACAGCGCTACACTAGTCTAAGATACGAGATGTATACATACTATCTTCGTATCCTGGGTTACAGACCTACACTTGTCTAAGATACGAGCTGTATACATACCATCTTCGTATCCTAGGTTACAGTGCTACACTAGTCTCAGATACGTGCTGTATACATACCATCTTCGTATCCTGGGTTACAGCGCTACACTAGTCTAAGATACGAGATGTATACATACTATCTTCGTATCCTAGGTTACAGCGCTACACTAGTCTAAGATACGAGCTGTATACATACTATCTTCGTATCCTGGGTCACAGCGCTACACTAGTCTAAGATACGAGCTGTATACATACTAT